AGTATGGGTACCAGGGTCACAAGTGAATTAAAAGCAATGGAAAAGCCGATGCTTTCGCAAGGAAAGGAGCGGAATTTCCTATTATAGGTTCGAAACCGGCAATAGGAATATCCAAGAAACATCAGCGGAAAGAACTCCTTGATTGGATTTGGAATAGAACCGGTAAGGAGTGAAGGGAATGCACTGGGCTTAGACATGCAAAACAATTTATCAAAAGCACCTCCTCCACTAAAACTAAGCGGCGGCTGGACCAAACTAAAAAGGAAATCCGACTCATCATCGGAGTACTAACAGGCCACTGCAGACTTAAAAGATATTTAAAGATCTGTGGGATAGTAAACGATGAACTCTGTAATATGTGCAGAAACTGCCCTTCACTAGATTGTGACCAATTTGCGTCGCTCAGATACAGACTTCTGGGCGCAGACAGAATACAAGTACACCAAATTACCTATATAAAATGTTCCTACTTTTTGAACTTCATTAGTAGAACAAAAAGGTTTGAGATAGAGTTGGAGGTACAATAGATAACCATTGGTAGTTTTGTCTTTTTGGGGTTGGCAAAAAGGACCAATAGGCCCACTTGCTGGACTTAGTCCCCCCCACCAGTACCAGTAACAGTACTAACAGTATTGTATTTATTGTGTTCCAGAAAATAGAGGTGTCAAAGGATGAGAGACTAATTGAGAGGCATCCTTTCATATTTCATCTCTGGCCTACGCTGATGAAGACCAGTATAATGGCCTGAAATGTATACAGTAAAAACTGTTATTTACAAACTAACAACTAAAGGTTTCAAAATTAACAGTATGCTGAGGCCTAGAGGCATATACTTACAAGAGACAATCATGAAACAAATGGAAAAGGATAAACAATGGCTTGTACACAGAACAAGAAAATAAAATAAACATCAATCCAAGCAAAATCACCATTGTACTCTTCACTCTTAAAACCCATTTGGAAAATGAATTAATATAACAAATGAGGCTAAATATTTAAGTAATCCTAAACAAAAAACTCACCTGGAACTCCAAAAAATACAGAATCATGGGAAAAGATGATGCTTCATTATGAACTCCGAAAAATTAATTTGGAAACAAAATGGGTAATTAAAACAAAAATGGTAAAATGGATACACATCAGGATCGTTCAAACTATGATAACAAATCCATCAGTCGCATGGTAGTAAATAAATAAAATAAAAGTAGTAACAAATAAAACTTGAAAAAGTTTAGAGTAAGGCATTTTAATTGGTATAAGAGCAATGAAATCACAGCAGTGAATATACCACCATAGAACATTTAGAAATAAAAAGAGGATATAAGAAGTGGAATCAGAACTACACCATAACTGCAATTGTAAACCAGGAAACTGAAAGGGACATTCAAAAATAATTAATGATTTTGAGGAAAAAGAGTGGGTCAGCTCACAAGAGACTGTTTACCCCGAAAATTTAACTTTAAAAGAACTTCAAAAACTACTGAGGAGAGCAGCTGATTAAGCAGTGAGCACACTAAACAGTCACATATCACCCTAAGATTTTAAAATAACATAACTTTAAGATATTCGATACGACTGAAAAGATTTTAAAAAACCTCAAACAAATTTAAAACTAAAATGTGAGATTTAAGGTCTCCAACATGCACTCTTTAACTGTTTATCTGGTCTGGACATTTATTGGGTGACCTAAAAATTTTATCACTAAGAGTATTCACTCATATAAAACAACCCTTGATCCAAGCAAGGCAACATGAAAAAAAAGGAAGAAAAAATAATAATAAGAGGGTCCATATTTGAAAATAGGGCTCAGGTTTGGTATATTCATGGTTCAGCAATTAAAGAATGGAAAGCAGGATTTGGACCCAAATGCTCTTGATATAAGATCATACCCAACAATCTTTCAAACAGAAATAGCTGCTAGAGAAAGCCTCAAGAGCCCTAAAATGGAAATATTATACATAAATACAGGATTTCCCATAATGTAGAGGGAAATTTTTATAGGAGTGATAGCAGACCTCAAGAACTACAAAAAAGTTCATTGGAATAGTCGAAAAATCAGTATTTTTCAAATTATTTTTTAAATAAATAAAATGTGTGTTTAGGCAATTGGGTTTATTAAAATACATCCCAGATCATGGAAAAACAAGAAATAAAAGCTTTGCAACAATTATTTGTAGTCATTTTTGCTGAAAACAGAGGTACTTTTACTTGATAGGATAAAAATTTCATATTTTTTTACAAAACTTGAGTTGAATCTCAATTTTTCCCCAAATGAACCTCAACTTAATTAATACGAACTTAAAGCTTATTAAATGAAGATGTTTTTTGTAAAAGTGGGTAAACTATAGTATAATTGGATGACAATAAAAAAAAATGGCAAATACTTTATGATTTTTTTAAAAACAAAAAGCCACTCAAAAGACCTCTGTAAATATTTTTAACAATGATAAACTCTATGTTCATTTAAAGTAAATTTCATCTTGTTTACAATGAGCAATTATTAATTACTTGAATTAAATATTTCTTAAGTTATTGCTTTTGATTCAATAAAAAACATGACTTACTTAAAAAACTACAAAAATTGGATTTCCTACTTTTCTACTGAACATTGGCCCATTGTTTATATGAACTTTTTTGTAACTCTTGAGGTCTGCTATCACTCCTATAAACATTTTCCCCTACTTATGGGACATCCTGTAAACATATACGTATACATATATATGTATGAGAGATGGAATACAAATTTAAGTTTTAAGGCCTTTAATGGTACCTGGCTGTATTGATACATATATATACAGCCAGGTAGCATTAAAGGCCTTAAAACTTAAATTTGTATTCCATCTCTTAACTATTAAGCATTGTCTTGATACTTTAAACTAATTACAACAATGTAAACTCAAGAATTGAGATGTTCAAAGTTGGTTAATTATTCAGTAAGTAAAGGGGAAATATTTAAAGAGGTGATAGTAGATCTCAAGAGCAAAAAAAAAAAATCATATTAAAAATGGGCCGCTTTTTCACAGAAATGTTGTATAAATTCAAGTACTATGTTTTTTTTTAAGTAAATCACGTTTGTGAAATAGGAAGAGAAAACAATACATAGATGACATCAATACCAATTAAAAATAGTAATTCAATAATATAAATAAAAATTTGAAAATAAACATACTAATTGACTGAATTATTTTCATTAAAACGTTAATATTAAGATCAGTTGGTCACTTATAAATACAGATCCACTCCTATAATAAAGACTTGGATAAATTATAATTACTTTAGATGACAAATATTTGAAAAATCATTATTTTTATTATAATTTATTTTTTTTTTTAATAAAAATTGTATTTATGCAATTATTTGTACTATAACACATCACAGGCCATAGAAAAAAATTAAATTAAAGCTTTGCAATAATTTATAGTAGCCATTTTTGCTGAAAACACAGGCACTTTTAGGTGACAGAATATCAAATCACATAATTTTTTTTAACAACTTGAGATTAATATCAATTTATTTCTAAATAAACATACCTACATGCTTGGGTTGAAACGTCGGCACCAATAAAAACCTTAAAAATGACTACATCCTGTATATTTATCACCTATGTTAGTTACTTAAATTAAGCATTTTTTTTTAGTTATTTCCTACGAGACTTACTAAAAAAAAAAAAAAAAAAGCAACCAATGGAAAAGCAACCCATTGTTAATATGAACCTTTTTTTTAGCACTTGAAATCTACTATGACCTCTTTAAATATTTCTATCGGCACTAATAAAAACCTCAAAATGACTGCGTCCTAACTATTTATCACCTATGGTTTAAATATTTCACTCTACTTACGGGACACCCTGTACATGTATTACAATATTTATGTAATATGGTAACATACAGAAAATACAATCACAATTAAGGTAAGTTAATATCACCCACAAAAAATAAATAAAAAACAGATTGAAAGTAGAAAGCAGTGAAGAATGGATCTTAAATTTATTAAATATTTAATACCTCTCCAAATAAAATATACACCTGATAAACTTCAATATCTATACCACAGGCGGATCTACGGGGTGGGGGAGGGCTTTCAGGGCTGGAGCCCTCTCCTTCCCCCCAAAACAGTAAAATATAACCATGTTTTATAGAAAAAAATATTAAAAACTATCTCTTGAAGTATTATTGTTCATGTAATTACATTTAATACGATTTCAAGAATCACTTAAACACCATTTCATATAGGCAGTTAATTTCCTTCATTTTTTTTTTCAAATTAATTATTATATATATATGAAAAAAAAAATCTACCGGGCTGAAGCCATCCTCCCAAAACTAAATTCTGGATCCGCTAGTGATCTACACCTAGTTTTTTTCATCCATATGGATTAATGATAAAAGGAATATATAACGATAATTTAATATTAATGAATGACAAAAAAAAAGCTTGATATTTACATTTTATTCATCACAATAATAAAAAAAACCAATGTACTAAGGTCTAAAAAATAAAATAATCAACACAAAAGATTCTTTAGCAAAAGCTTAATAAATCAACAAAAATCATTATGCAAAAACTTTTAAATCGACTACAGCTTTGACAGCAATTGCATGCTTAATTTATATACTATACTTATAACATTCTTCAGGTAAATTTCAAGAGCAATAATGATAATGTGCAGGAAAACAAAGCAATCTAAAGTAGGGTAAATTGAATTACAATTCTGAATATAAATTAATTCATTTATTTATATGTGTGTGTATTATTCATATGAGTATATATGATAGGGCGTATATAAGTGATAAAATACATTAAAAAAGGATAGATCAAGTATTTAGAATCACTGTTCAGCTACTATAACCAGCACAAAGAAGGAATTATACTAAACGGAAAGGGAAGAGGTAAAGGAAAAATTAAAATAACATTAGTAACAAATATATTTTAGAAATAAATAAATAATACATCCATAAACATATACAATCCCAATACTCGTATAAAAGAATATTACTTACAATTAGAAAAATTGGATAATATTTGTTTATAATCACAAACTAATTTCATGTTAGCCATGCCAAATTATAATATTGGAAACATTTAACTAAAACATTATTCTAACAAAAGAGGTTGATAGTCAAGGAGTTAGTAAATACTAGGGAGGTTACAATGAACCTTGAAGGCTATAAAAGCACAACAATGAACTTAAAGAAAACTTTACTTTTTAATATTAAATATCTTGAACAAAGAATCTTTTCTTAGGACCGCTACAAAATAATTCATTAAATTACATTGATAATTCCCATTAAATTGTCTTTGTTTTCCAGTTTATCTTATTTTTTTCGGATGATTTGATTCAAATCATTTTAATATCTAATTTACCATTTATCTTTTTAATTTAAATTTACAAAATTTATGATTATGAAGAAGGATATGGGTTATTAAAAAAAATAAATTTATTTTCAAGTCCAGAGTTTCAAGAACCATCTTCAAAAGCGTGCAAGTTCGTGAACTCAGCGCTTATTCATTGCTGGATTTCCAATGCTCATCAATGAGCTCAATACACTTTTTTGAGATCTAAAGTCTAATTTAAGGCTCCCTTACATGGTCAATATCGAATTTCGTCAATGTTTTGATTGTATATGAGCTACGATGGTACCAATAATATTGGCGTCAATAAAACTGGTTAATATCTTCTTTTTTTTTATGGAAGCTTCTTCAGTATTATTGAAAAAGTGTCAGTATTATTGCACGTTTAAGGGCTATAATGAAAATATTAGTTCATATATACGGATCTAGGATCTTTAAGGTCCATACATAAAGAGTGCAATATGTCTCGACGATAAAATATTTCTGTTGGCGGTGATATGGCGATATAGTTGTATTACTACATATTGCATAATAGCAGTCACGCTAGGCTCGAAAAAGTGAAAAATTGCCCTTTTTACTGTGTTTTAAAATTAAAATTTTCTCATTCCCTTCCCTAGTACTGTCACACCCCAAATGTACTGACATGTTAAGCTGTTTGTCACGAAAAATATTTAATAAGGGAGCTTTAGTGAAAGGATATGAGGGCTCATTTCGATATTCAATTGAAGAAAAAAATATTGATTAATACATCACCTGACAGACCCATTTTAAAGAGTGTCATGGCTACTGATCCTCACTTCCTGGAAAATTAAAAAAATTATGTGAAGTAGAACCAAAAGAGTAATTTGCTCTACTTTGAACCTCGCAACACCACTTCGAGATCTCTCCTACATTTTTTTTTTAGATCTTGCACTCTTCCCTCTAGTATGGAGATTCATTACTTCATTAAAAGCCTTGTAGTATTTTTTGACAACCTATCTTCCTAGTGAATTAGTTTTCTTAAAACTAATTAATTGATTAAAAATTAATTGATTAAAAAAGATTAATCAATTTTAATGAAACTTTGTACAATCAGTGAAGATTGATAGTAATTTATTTGAGGATATTTTGAATTAATTCAGTTTCAAAAGTAGAATAACCTTTTGTGCCCATGAAAAACTAAATCAACACTTCCTGGCTTCATATGCCCTAGATAAGGGATCTCCAAACTTTTTGGATCGCAGAACACAGAGTGACCCCCACCTAAGTCCTGATGGCCATAACGTCCTTAAAAAAAATCTTGTTCATAAATGACCCTTCTGTTGTGGAAAAAAAAAAAAACACCAAATATTGTAGTAACCTCTTGTGTGAGTAGTTGTCTAAATTTCACATTTTTTTATTATTTTTAAAAAAATTTACTAGATAATCAAAGAAACTTACGCGAGCTGGACTTGAGTTGCTTGCGGGCCGTAGTTTGGAGACCCCTGCCCTAGATAATTCCTAAGCCTAAGGAGTAGAGTTGGCCATCTCTGCTACTGCTACTGCTACTTTGAAAAATTTAAATGAAATGTTTGTTGACAAAAAACAACTGCTCTTAAGAACTTTTGAAAAAAAAAATAGTTCATGGAAAAACGCAACGATTCATGGAGTAAACCTATTCGTTTCATAACAGATCTGATTCGTTTTAAAATTGCTCCTATTCGGTTTCACAGTACCATTCAAATGAAACCTTATTAGTCTAAGAGAAATATATTCCCCAGATGTTTTATTTCAGCACGTTTAGCGTTAGTATAGGCCGTTTAATTACAAACGACGCTTGATTTTCAACTTTTTGTTGAAAAATATGACTTTACTGGTAGTTTTTACTGCCTAAGCCAATCATTTTTAGACATTTTTTCATGTTTGATGAAATTTTTTTTATGCTTACATGTATTCATTATATGTAGTTCAGATCAGGTATATATTATTTTAGTTTATAAAACAGGTATTAATATGAATTATTTCCGGGGAAGTATATACAATTTATATTACCTCTAAGAATCAGTAAATATACAAAACAAAGTGTTAAATTGCAAACGTTAAATAAAATATTCAAGATATTCAGCAAAGTATTTTTGAATTAAGTTTTATTATTATAATTATATCATTTTTAAAATAGAGGCCTTCTTAAATGACCTCCGTATAGAATAAAAGAAATTAAATTTTATAGAATAAATAAAATAATAAATCTTTTTTAAATTGTTTAATTTTTTTGGACAATTAAATTATTGCATTAATATTTGTTCGTTCATACAATCAATACAATTTACCAAAAATGTTATTATAACACTATAATTAAGCCATTTATGAGCACTGAATGGTGTGGTAGAGGCTTGTAGGCACCTACGCCAGTACAGCCTTTCTGCCGCTTAAGTACATTTTCCACGAAACTACTTCAAATATTTTAAAAAGTAATCAGTATTTTAGAAAGAGAAATATATTCCCCAGATTTTTTATTTCAGCACGTTTTGCGTTATTGTAGGCCGTTTAATTACAAACGACGCTTCATTTTCAACTTGAAAATTTTGTTGTTGAAAAATATGACTTTACTGGTATTTTTTACTGCCTAAGCCAATCATTTTGAATATTTTTTCTTATTTTCTGAATATCCTGCTTTAATAAAAGACCAATTATGGCGAAATTAAGCCAAATTCTGATTCTCAGTGACCAAAAAACTAACTAAAGTCAAAGGCGTCAGTCCGCCATGTTTGGACGCCATTTTAGGACAGTTCGTTCACTTTTTTTGTGGAAACATTGGCCTTTTTTTAATAAATAGTCACAAGGAACACAATGATATGCAATTTATAGTGATGGGGGGGTGGGTGCACGGTAGGGGGGTTTGGCCAGGTCAGGCCCTGGGACTGTGATCCACCCTTCTCTTCGAACCTGCTTGCCTAAACTATAAAGATTGCGAAGAATTTGAAAGACATGCTACACCTCTTTTTTTTTTCTTTTCTTCTTTTTTTTTTTTTGTGATATGTGACCGTCATTTTAAAATAACCCGTGTAATTATGTAATGTTTAGTTAAAAAGTAAAAGCTGATCGATTGGATAGGCCCTTAAGATAACCGGTTACAATGAAATTTGAAAATAATTAAAATTCTTTGTCAAAAGATTGAATAAAAATAAATGCAAACGGGTCACATGACTTCTTACAATTTCGTGAAATATAATTAGAGTTGTCTCCATGGCTACCGTAGTACAAACGAAGTTTCCCGATAGACTATCGTGAATCGAAGGCAAAGAATGTATGTTCTTTTAGAATGATTAATTTGTTGTCAAAGTTAATATTAATGATTTAGACACTGTAATTCTTGTGTATAATGGAATCAGATTATACTGTCAGGAAGCGAAGTGCCAGAATGAAAGAAAGAACCTCTTCCACTGGTAGTGAAGAATCACATAGTGGTTTCACATCTTCAGCATTGACTGTAAGATTTTAAAATACCATTATTTACTTTATTTCTTTTTTTATTTTTTTTTTCATTTCACTATTACTAAGTGATATTAACTATGTAATCCATACCAAACTTTTTCTATTTTTATGGATATTGGTATACCTTACACTTTTTTTTTTATATTCATGGCAAAAAGTGCAAATGTTCAAAGATGATATGAAGTTATTGCTCTGTAATCTATGGTGTTTCTAAGATTTATTTTCAATGGTTTATGTACACAAAAATTATAGAAAGGTACAAAATATGCTTATTATCTATAGAATGCTATGTGCATGTAAAAATAAAACTGCAAAAAATATTAGAATTAAAAACAAAACAAAAATAATTAACGGAGTTGAATGAAAACTAATGGCAATATATATTATTTAATCAATTTTTTATAGTTATTTATAATTAAGTTTTTTGGTTATTAATTTTTATGTACAGAAAAAGGTTTTTGTTGTAATGATTTTTATATGTTGTTTCTTCCATTTTACTTTTCCAAAGCTATCTAATTTCTGTGCCTATAGAATATATTGATAAAATTGATTTTAACTATAAACATTTGATTATTATCATCAAAATATTACCATTTACAAAATATAAAAAGGGATCGTCTCAAGTTCAAAGAATATTTGTATTACAAACATCCAAATTTGCATTTGGATATACTTAATAATAAATCTATTCTTATTAGTATTAATAAATGTCTTAAATAATATACAAACAATTTCTGTGTTAAGAAAAAATTAATATATTAGCTTTTGATAACTTTCTTTAAAACAACTTTTAGTATCATGCCTTTTGCTGGGCTTGATTTAAAAAAATAAGTAATACTGGAAAAAAAAATTGGTACAGAGCTTGGCTCTTATTGCAAACCGTCATACATTGTAAACCTTTATGAATCCCATTATCTTATATATTATATAATAATATATACACTTTTTTTTATTACATAGCATCTAAGTACGTACTTAACTCTTTATACACAAAATACCTCTAATCCATTATGATATAAATTCAAATTCAAATTTAAAACTCAATTTGTCATTAATCTGGCGTGTACTTATAGAGCTACCGCTACCAAACAATTTCCAACCTAATAAAGTCACGAAATCATATTAAGCTGAGGATACTTGCATAAATGTTTTAAATCATTCATCTGACATCCCATGTTTTCTTCTGAAACCACCCTCTCAAAGCAAAGGAATAGCACTTTACAATGTATTATTCTGTTTTCTGCCACAAAAGCCAACAATCTTTCAATTCACTTTGTTCTATAATTTTCCAGATTGAAGTAATTTATTTACTATGTACATTATTATACCTCTTGGATTATGGTTAAGAGTTTTACAAACATCCCTAAAAGCTTAGGAATGACCTGGCTAAAGCCGGTGCTGTCCAACAGCATTTCATTCTATTAAATGCTTTACATATTGTTTTGCAGTCTTAAAAAATTTATCCATTATGTTTATAAACAACAGTGGTAAAAAGCAAGATATCAAGTACAGATACAAATTTTTAACTTGTATAAACCCAAAACTATATATTGTCACTTTTATTGGATACCTTTCTATCCTGTCAAAGCCTTTAATAAATCAGAAGTCTATTTGTTTATTTCCTTATTCTCTTCTATTGTATTTTCTAAAATAAGGTAAAGATTTAGTTTATACACACTCTTATTTTGATGAATTACTAATATACTGCTTTTCTTCAACATTGATTTTCTCATTTCTACAAAGGTATATCCTCTATCATTCTACTATTTCTGTTGTCTTCCTAAGTATATTTCCTCAGGATATGTTTAAGGAAATGGACCACTCATTTATCTTTTTAACAGTTTTGAAAATTGTGTCAATATCTTAATTGAAGAAATTATTATGTGTCTTTATAACTTCATCTATTCATATTTTCAAGATTTATTTTTTGAGCACCATTTAAATTTCAAAATGATTGAGAAATACATTTATAAAAACTACCTTTTCATATTTAACCAATACTTTACTTAAAATCAGATAAATTTGATCCACACATTTAAAGTAATATTGATTTGAATACAATTTTAATTATCACGTTTCACAATAAATATACATAAGTTTTTAATTGCATTTTTATTTTTTAGGAAAGGCAGCCAACAACAGGTCGTCTTTATTCTTCTATTGGCAGACCTATAAATCCTTCAACAGCCAGAACTAATCTAACGACTGGACTGAGGCTTCCAGAACAAGAAGCAAAGAACTCTCTAGTTATTAAAGCAATGGTATTTTAACTTGAAAAATTAAATAATTTTAGGCTAATATTTATATAAGAAAATATTATTAGTTTATTGGTATTTATATGCATTGACATTATTTAAATTAAAATGAAATTTATACCCTCACAATCAGAGATAAATTTTTAAAGTATGCATTAAAAAGTTTTTAGTATGAATTTCATAAATATTAAGCATAACAAGTAGACATTGTAACAGTATAAATAAATAAATATATATATATATATATATATATATATATATATATATATATATATATATATATATATATATATATATATGAAGGAAATATATTTTTTTAATATGAATATTGACCCATATTCTCAACGTTGCTACGCATTAGTGCAATTTATCACAATATAAACTATTGACCTCATAATAAGAAAATTAATTATTAATTGTCTATGTGTGAATTAATGATAATATGCTTTATTTATTCTGAGACAAGTCTCTTTAGAATAATATATTATAATACAATTGTGGGCTTTAGAGCCTCAGAGTTTTATAAAAAGAATAATAAAATAAAGAAATAGAAATATTTAAAAAATATAAGTGAACTTCTAACATTAATGAATTACAAATAAAAAAAAAACTTTAAAACATACTAATAATTTATATACATATTTACAGACAAAGTTATTTAAAAATTTTTCGGAACCAGATGGATTGGAAGTGATAGAGCCAGGATTTAAAGTTGGGTAGGGTATTGGAGTGACAGATGTAGGAGAGTATGGAATTTTATAGAGATGAGGATCAGGTAATTATAGATCTATCAAATGCCATGGATTGGTGGGTCGTAGTATACAGATCTGAAGATATAGAACGGGTATTGTGGGAATAAACCTAAGATTTGAATTGAAGGAGCTCGTAGATGTATGATGGACAATGAAATTGGATATCTTCGAAAAGGAAGGATGCCAGGAAATACTTATAATGGTAGGAAGGATAAAGCCACTTAACTCTTCATAAAATAATTAGATCATACAAATTTAATTGTTATAAATACAAAATATTTAATTAGAAATTGACCTTGTAATTATTAATATTAAATGTCATTTTTCTTCTAGTAGAGAAACTCAGTTGTATTTTAATGTCACTACTATTCCTTACCATACGATTATCTTATAAAATGACATTTTTAGTTACATCAATGTAAATGGAGAAATTATGATTCAAATTCATGATACAAGGAGCAATAATCATAAAATTGATCAGTATCTGTATACCTAATCAAGACTTCTGATGTACATGTTTTTGAGGACCCAGACTAAGGATATAGTAATCATTATCTAATCATAATCCATCTGAAGATCTAAATTTTCTAAGGAATATATCTTAACTCATCTTCAAGAAATAAATCTTAGAAGTGAATGCTAAGATCAACAAGATATCTTAAACTATTTATTAAAATATTGTATAATATGTAATAATATTTGTTGAGCTTTAATATTTTTTAACATAAATAAACATGTTAAAACTAAGTAGGAACATTAAACCATAATATTACAAAAAATAGAATTTTAAGAATTAACATTACTTAATACCTAAAAGGGTGAGTTCCTAAACTCAGTGCTAATTCCATCAACCAATTGAATCCAGTAACGATTTATGCTGAGTTTAGGAACGACCTGATGTGTTCTAGCAGAAAGTCAACACACCTGCAAGATTACTAAAACATGAAAAATAAAAATAAAAAAATGTGTAAAGAAATACCTATCTACTGAATTGTGCAATTGTTCAAAACATTTATAAATAGGAAAAGTTCCTACACTCAGCACTGAGCTCATCAATGTCATCGTTCTGCCCAGTTTAGAGACAGATCCGATGCCATTGATGAGCTCAGCACTGATTTTAGGAACTTACCTACATAGACAGAAAGTATTGATACAGGTACCACAACTGCTGGAGAACTAGTTCGGCAAGTGGGGTTTGCGCTTCTTTTTGTCAATCCTAGATGGCTACCTTGATGTTGCCACCGCGTACTTAGGAGAGTGGAAATGTCAAGTTTCATTTCCCAGGGCTACCGAGAAATAAATGTAAACTGATTTAGATAGGAATCAAACCCATAATATTTTGAACTGTGCACCTCAATGTCCTTAGCCATTACACCCTTATATACAGAAAGTAAACTGAATATAAACATTTAAAGTAAATTGAAATAAAATAACTCTGAGATTGACCCTTAAAGCTGATGGAATTGACTTCTGCCCCATCGATAATTCACTTGGTGAATAAATGAACGTGCTGAATTCCAGGATAGTTTAAGAACTTGCCCAATTAATAATATGTTTGTGAGAAATAATACTTGCTAAATTTCTCCTCATAGGGAATTCATTCTACCCACACAATAGTCTAGGCGGTGAGCGCAGTAGAGTATGTAAACATTTAGAAAGTGAACAAGCTGGTTTCCAACAGAGTCAGGGTAAACAGGACCACATCTTTGTTCCTAGGGACACCACTAAAAAAGCCTGGGACAGAGACATGAATCTAAATCTGACATTTCTTGATCTGAGGGTGGCATTTGATTCAGTCCCAAGAAAAGAAATCTGGAATGCACTAGAAGCCAAGGATGTTCATGGAAATTTAGGAAGGAGCCACTGGGATGGTAAGGATAAATCTAATAGAATCAGAACCTTTCCCAATTGCAAGAGGAGTAAGGCTGGGAGATAGTTTAAGTCCTCTCCCCTTTTCATAAATTGTATGGATGAAATTCATAAAACCTGCAAGCACCAGACTGCCTAGTCTACAATTTGACATTGTAATATGAGAACCGACATCATACAGAACGTTTAATGCCATCCATGTAGACATTATCCTAATAGCCGATTCAATGATAAAACTCCAGCAAGCACTAGTAGAATCTAAAGAAGAGTTGCTGAGGAAGGGTATGAGAAGTAATGGCTCCCAGAGTAAAGTACTGGTTATGGTTGTGGTAACTGGTGCAAAAAACTAATTTAGATTGAGTCCATTTAACTGTATTTAAAATGTGGTTGAATCGATTTAAACTTATTGGAAACTCATAAAAATACATTTTCTTAAAGATTTAAATATGTGGTTCAATAGTGGATGAGCAATGACTTGCAATTTGGTTGAAAAAATGTTTTTATTTTTTGCTTCACTTTCGGAAACACACCACCTGGTTCATCTTAGGATATTGATTTTTACTTGTAATTGCAAGTCAGTTCTTATTCAGTATTTAACCAGATATTTAAATCTTTCTGATTATTGTATTTTCAAGTGTTTTCAACAATTTTTAAATCAATTGAACTGTGTTTTGAATATAGTAAAAGAGTCTAACCTGAATATCTTACATTTAATGGAACCTCAACCAAAATATATAATATTTTTGCATCAGTTTTGGAAACACTCCTTCTTGGACAGTCTTACATTATTGAATTTTACTTGCCTTGTCATGCTGAATATTTTAGAAAAATCTCAGACATTTAACAGTCCGTTGAATGTAACTCAAACATTACAAGTACACTCGAATTACAAGTCAGTTTTTGTCCAGAACTTAACTAGATACTAAAATCTTTCAAACAATTGTATTTTTAAGTGTTCCCAATAAATTTTAATCAATTCAAATGTGTTTCAAGTACAGTACAGAAAAAACGTAGAAAATTTTGAATTTTTTTTTAAATGTTGTATTCAGCATTAAAGGTTAAAAACTTCAATTCTTCGTAGGACCATCATCAAATGCTCAGTAACATATTAAAATTTTCTGAACTGAGTCAGGTTTACCCTTTCAGATGACAATAGTACTGGAAAAAAATCATTTCCAGTTATACTGCTCTGTTTTACAATATGATCGCTCCCAAGCAAACCAATACTTTCTCAAGACCTAACACTTCTGGTGTATAATAAGTGCCAGTATTAGAAATTTGCCCTTCTCCTCCACCTCCCGACAATTAAGTAATCTCCCTCTAAATGTTTAATATATTTCTTAAATTTTTTTATTTGTAGTAGTTTCAATTTTATTTAATTCAATGTGTCTATAATTTAGTCAATTTGTTAATTGGCTAAAATTATTTATTCTCATACACTTTGTAATTTATTTATTCCAAGTGGCATCCCCCTTGGAGTTGGAACTGTATGTACTCTCAAAAGTGTTGTCAGGCCAATAAAAATTATATCAAATATTTGAACTTTGATAATACCAATAACATAAGTCCACAACAATATTCTTGTGAAGTTGTTTACATGTGCAATGTTTATGACATTATCGATTGACTAATCACTATCACTTAAAACATTTTACTATTTGAATGCAGTATGTAAAGCTTATGTTCTAATATGTTTTGGCTTAAGGTTTAAGATTATTATTGTTTTTCATAAATTTTAAATTATCTACGCTATATTAACTATCTAAATTAATTATGTTGTATATTTTATTTTAGAAAGATAAGATAGCATCACAAAAAAGTGGTATAAAACTAGCAAATGTTCGCACAGCTACCAGTAGAGGACAGGTCAATAGATTTGTCCAAGATAAGCGTTACTATATGGGTACCTTACATCTTAAAATAGGTGAATTGACAGATGAAATAGATAGCTTAAACAACCTTTGTACTGATGCACTTTCAGAGTATGGAAATTCGCTAGTTTATGAAAAGAAAGTTAAGGATTTAGCTACAGAAATAACCAGTAAGTGCACAGATATTCCATGTACAAAAAGTAAATATTTTTGATAGATTATAAATTGAATCTTTTGCAATAAATAAATTACCAGAAAATGTTGGTGATTTATAAATTTATTTTCTTTAGCTCATTACTTAAAATACTATTTAAAAATATTTGAAGATTAAGTATAGACACAAACTTTCCATTCTAAATTGGGGAGGAGGCGATGGCCCCTCCAAAATAAAATTTGGAAATTTGTATTATATATAAAAATTATGAGTGATAATCAACATAATTATTGTATGATGAACAATATAAGTATTTCTAGGCGTTAGCTTAGCTATATAGTCGACTTTTCCTTTTTTAAGTTGATTTTAGTTTTCATATATATATATATATATATATATATGAGGTTTTAGGCTATATGAGGTTTTCTCAGGCCAAGGGATGAGGGCGGGGGATTAATGCCAGAGTTTAAAGTCCTTCTGGCACTAGGATGTGAGCTCATAGTTATTTTATCAGTTATCAGGTTGCCAGGCAGCACATGGTGCTGTGCACACATGTTAGTCTGCTCGGTCACCCTGCCCCCTTAGTTTACATATTTTATTCATTCATGTAGATTAATTGTTCAAAATTAATTTTGATTTTATTTTTTTTTATTTTCTTTACCTATCGCCCACCCTTTACCCTCTCCTCCCTGAAGTCTGCACCTATGAGATGAAGTCTCTGATTTAATCTGACAAAAAGTTAAATTATTTATTCAGGAAGGTGGTCTGGGGTTGCAGTCATAAAAAAACTTAAAATAGTGAAAAACAATTTTTTTTAGACCAAAGTTTCGACACAACTACGTAGGTCTTCTTCAGGGCTAGAATGAACAAGATACAAAAGGATATGTGTATAATATAATATGTACATATAAATATAATATGTATATATATATATATGTATATATACATGTATATATGATATGTATAGTAGTGAATACTTAATAGTCAACCATTGTATTATCAAGGAAGGAGATGGTCTGGTGTAGCAGTCATAAATAGACTAAATAGTGGCAAAACTATTTTATTAAAAGCCGAAGTTTCTACCCGACTTTGCAGGTCTTCTTCAGGGCAAGATACAAAAAGATATAGAGAATTGTGGAAGTTACATCATATTTAAATAAAAAATTATAAACAATGTGAATAAACTTATTAAAATTATAAGCAGTAAGTACATTAAAATATTAAGAACAATAATTGGTATAAACAGAGTAAGCTAAGTAACAAGATCCTAATCTAAAGTAAATATAAGGTAACAATTGTTGCAGTATAATATAAAATATAATATATGCAATTGTGAATATACTCCTACAGATCTACAGGAGAGATTGAAAGAAAATGAAAAAGAATATAATATGAAATAATGGACATAAAGGGATGTGGAGAAAAAAAAGTAGAAAAACAAAAATAAGTAAATAAAATTATAAGAATAAAAATAGAGACTTACAGGTGTGTTCAGCAAGGAGTTTCACTTAGAACTGGAAAACCAGTATTTTTTGTTTTTACTTTTCCTTTTTCCTTTTCATTTTTCTTTGAGTTAAAATCCCCTCTTTGAGATTTTCCTTTTTGGGGGAACTCCAGAGCAGCCATTTTTTTCTTCCTAAACTAGTGAAACTATTTTTCAAATTTAAACATCCCCTGACATTAGCAGAACTAGATTAGCTTGCCTGTTAACTGTTCAACATTAATTTATTAAACCATTTTTACCAACTTCCAATAAAGGTGAATATTACATTATCTTGTTCGTTCTAGCCCTAAAGAAGACCTGCATATTTGGGTCGCAATGCTGGCTTAAAATAAAAAGTTTTTCATTATTTTAAGTTTTTTCATGATCGCCACCTTGGACCATCTCCTTTCTGAATATTATACAACTGTCAACCATTTTATTATTCAGTTTAAAATTATTTAATTTGGTTTATTTTGCAAAGGTATGCAGGGCAGTCTCATTGATCTTAATCTGGCTGTTGACAATATTAATACATTTGGAGATGTCCAAAAGCTTAATATTGAGGCAAAGGAATTGAAGGAAAATAACGATTCAGAAGCAGAAAGAATAGAAGTTATTTTTTCTGATAGACTTCGAAAAGAACAGGCTGTACGGCAAATGGAAAAAAAATTCACAAAGGTATGCAAGTATTGAAAGAAGAAAATATTAGAATTGAAACCTAACTAATTGTGCTTTGATTTTAGGAGAAAAATAGATATGAAAAAATTATTTCTGAAATGGGAGTTGAAATGAGAGAGAAGTATAGTAGCTTGAATGAAAGGCTTACCAAGAGTTCGAAAGTTATATCATATTGGCAGTCAGAAATAGATGTTTACAACAAAACAAAAAATAATCTGACTGAACATATTTATTATTCATTTCCAGTAAGTAAAAAAAAATTACCACAATTTAAAAATATTTCTTTTTTTTTTTGTACAAGTATATTTTATTATTTTAATAAATAAAAATACTTGTTTATTTCAATTCTTTGAAAAAATAATTTTATTGTTGTGAATGTGTCCATATCTCACTATAATTATTGTCCACGTGACAGATTATTATATTTATAAATAAATAAAATTTTTTTTAACTTAAATGAAAACATTTATATATTTTTCATATTTATTTAGCTGGTTAACTTTAATCTGTATGTCAATTTTGCATAGATGGGTTAAATCCTGCTCATTTGTCCGTAAAATCTTATTAGATTTTCATCAAAAATTATAACAACAATTCTATTTCAAGGCTCTACTAAATTTTCATTGCTGTCCTCTATTTCCTTACACCGAGTGTCCTGAAGTTTGCTTCCACATTTTCCTTCCAGCAAAATCAGGACCTTCATCTCTGCCTTTTTCTTCTTCCAGGGTATCCATTCAGCATGCTTTTTGTTATTTTGGGGGATTAAATCATCTGTGCATGGCTCAGAGACTAACCATCTTAATATTAGTTGTTTGACAGTGTACAACTAATACATCATGTCACCCCATATAATAGAAATGGCCCGGTAAGGAGAAAAAAAGTGCACATTATGTCATGAAATCACTCAATCCCTGATTACTTTTAATTCTCCATGCTTAGTTGGGCAGTATATTCTTAAGTTTGTCTTACCCATCTATTCAGAATGCTTTAACTTCCCACTTTCTTTGCTTCCATACACCTTAAGAACTGTCTAATATACCTATATCTTAAACTTACTGTTAGGCTCTTATTTGACCGAGAGCTGAGTAGCACGTATTACCTGCCCTTATTATTTCATTGATTTATTTGACCTCTTTATTCCACTCATACTGTTCTTCAAGGATCTTCACTTTCACAATCCATATTAACAACCTTTCTGATTGTATCCACCATTCATTATACCACTTAATGCTTATGATCTCCAAATCTACCAATCCTTTTATCTTACCGAGATACTTAAGGCGACCCAAAAGCTAAAAGAAGATATAGGACAGTATCAATACATGGGCAGCAAGCAATGATTTGAGGTTAAATGTTGAGAAGACCAAAGCCATTCTAATTGGTTCCAAGTACCTTCTTAATTTCATTGCTTATTATTCCCTTCTCTACCTTAACAGCCTACCTATTCACTTTCACACTTCCATTTGAAACCTTAGGGTAATTTTTGATCGATACTTGTCATGGAATAACCATATTTCCAAAATTATTCAAAAATCTGTTGCTACTCTCTTCAGATTCTTGAGATTCCTTGATTCTGTCTCCCTTAAAACTCATTGGTCTGGTGGTAATAAAATTAGATTGAAGAGATTAATGAGTTGTTTCATTAGATTCATCTTAGGGATACCGAGGCACTCCCACATCTCCAGTATGCTGAGTTGAAGTGCTTATATTCATTTTTCCAGTGTCAATATTTCTTAGATGTATTCTTTTTCCGAATCCCTACAACCAAAAAACTTCCTTAACTTCTTGATTTCTTAACGCCTTGTTCCTCTGTCCACTCTTTAAACACAAGATTATATCCCACAAACCTGTATATTCCTTCCCATAGAACTGTTTCCTCCTTTATCATGCCTACGACCTTGTTTTGTAATTCCTTACCCACCTTCATATACAAAACCTCATATTAAATTTCATTCGTTTTATATATATATATACAACTTTTCATTAATTGGCCTTTGAGTATTACATTTTAAATTAATTATTTAATTGGGAATAAGGTCACTTAATAATTATTCAATAAACTACTAAATGTTCGTTGCTTCTGTGTTTATTCGACATTTGGATCCCGGTTTTTTTAATAGTTAACAATGAGATCCTCTTCAATGATAGAACAACAAATAGCTCAATCGGTACACAATTATGCTTCCATATGTTTCTAATAACAATTATTTCAAAATTTTAACCTACTTTTAAAATAGAGCCTCGATACCTCAGGCCAGGGAAACACCGACAGTCTCAGCACCGTCCACCAGCACATATATTAAGCTACTGGACCACTAAGCCTCTGCCCACCCCGGTCCTGAGCCCGAAGGCAAAATATTACATACAATACAATATATATGTTATATATAGCAATTGAAAAATGCATCCATGATAAATATAACAGGATCATGAACATATCTCTATCAACAACAAAAACAGTTTGTATAACAATTCTTGGTTATAAATTAACGTATCAAAACTAATTAACATTAAATAAATGTATATATATATATCATGGAACTAACTTTAAAATTGTTAAAAATATAAATAAATATTAGATACTTTAAAATTGCTAAAGACATAACATAACATTTGATTTCCCCTATACTTGTGGAATTTGTAATGGATGATTTAGTAGAAGAAATACTTTCAACAATTCCTATACAGGTGCAATTTATAAAAAAGTATGTAGATGATATGATATTAACTCTCCCTGCTGCATATATAAATAATATTTTAACATATTTCAATGTGGATACATATATAAAATTTACAATGGAAATTGAGGAAGACAATTCCATTACATTTTTAGATACAAAAATATACCGCTCTGGGAATGATATAAGAGAATCATGGTATGAAAGAAAAAATCATGGAGGTCGAATTTTAAATTTTAAATCATAATATTGATCTAAGTTTGGTTTCTTTTAAAGAAGAAAATATAAAAAGAATAAAAGAAATGTTGAAAGACAATAGTTACCCTAAGAGTATAATTGAGAAGTGCCTCCGAGAAGCGTATGACTATTTGTCATATATATAGCAATATAGGAATTCATATATAAGAATATAGGAATTCATGAAACTATTGTCATTTAAAATAAAAAGAATTTTTCGGGGTCACAATATCAGTATTGTGTATAGATACAAAAATAGCCTTTTAATAGTTTTTAATATTGTTTTATGATTTTATAATGTTGACATTTTATATATAGTCAGAAATAGATGTTTACAACAAAACAAAAAATAATCTGACTGAACATATTTATTATTCATTTCCAATAAGTAAAAAAAAATTACCACAATTTATAAATATTTTTTTTTTGTACAAGTACATTTTATTTTTTTAATAAATAAAAATACTTGTTTATTTCAAATAGACTAGTGTACACATATTTTAAGTAGTAGATATTTATTTATGTTTTTATCAATTTTACATTATTTGATATTTATTTATATTTTTAACAATTTTAAAGTTAGTTCGATGATATATATATATAAATAATATTTTAACATATTTCAATGTGGATACATATATAAAATTTACAATGGAAATTGAGGAAGACAATTCCATTACATTTTTAGATACAAAAATATATCGCTCTGGGAATGATATAAGAGAATCATGGTATGAAAGAAAAAATCATGGAGGTCGAATTTTAAATTTTAAATCATAATATTGATCTAAGTTTGGTTTCTTTTAAAGAAGAAAATATAAAAAGAATAAAAGAAATGTTGAAAGACAGTAGTTACCCTTATCATATTTAAGTAGTAAATAAAACATATTTTAAGTAGTAGATATTTATTTATGTTTTTATCAATTTTACATTATTTGATATTTTTAACAATTTTAAAGTTAGTTCGATGATATATATATATTTATTTATTTAATGTTAATTAGGTTTGATATGTTAATTTATAACCAAGAGTTGTTATACAAGCTGTTTTTGTTGTTGATAGAGATATGTTCTTGATGCTGTTATATTTATCATGAATGCATTTTTCAATTGCTTTATATAACATATATATTGTTTTGTATGTAATATTTTGCCTTTGGGCTAAGGACCAGGGTGGGCAGAAGCTTAGCGGTCCAGTAGTTTGATATATGTGCTGGTGGACAGTGCTGAGACTGTCAGTATTTCCCTGGCCTGAGGTATCGAGGCTCTATTTTAAAACTAGGTTAAAATTTTGAAATAATTGTTATTAGAAACATATGGAAGCATAATTGTGTACCGATTGAGCTATTTGTTGTTCTAGCTTTGAAGAGGATCCCATTGTTAACTATTAAAAAAACCGGGATCCAAACGTCGAATAAACACAGAAGCAACGAACATTTAGTAGTTTCTTGAATAATTATTAAGTGACCTTATAATAATTATGTTTATATATATATATATAATAAATTATATAATTTTATTATTTCATTATTTTACTTATTCAAATCTTTTATTTTTATTTTAATGTTACATAACTTTTCAATTCAATTGTTTTTTGGCTGCTATTATGTGCCAGACAAATTTAAATTTAATTCTTATTGTTCATTTTCAGAGTTTTAGGTGACTAAATGTGCTAGAATGAAATTCACTTTTCATTTCTTTCAATAACAATTCCCTGGTGCAATCACCTTGGTATTCTCCGAACACAGGCAGATCTAGGGGGAAGGAGGGCTTTTGGGCTGAAGCCCCCCATAATGCTAAAATGTAACGCTGTTTTATGGAAAAAAGTATTAAAAAATTATCTCTTAAAGTATTATTGTTCGTGTAATTAATTATATTTAATAGGACTTCAATCATCACTTAAACAATATTTCGTATAGGTAGTTGGTTTCTTTTTTTTTTCAAAAGTAGTTATCGTTATATGTATGATAAAAAAACCTATTGAGCTGAAGCCCCCCCCCCCCCAAATTAAATCTTGGATCAACTAGAGTCTCCGAACAACAGTTCTAATCTATTTATCTTTGTATTTATTAATCTTGTATAGTATTATAAAAGTGTTATAATAGTTATAATAGACTATTAAAAAGTGTTTGATTATTGGAAAACAAATGCTATCCTCCAATTATTAACGATGAACATGACATCAGATTTAAGTAATGACATCAGAAGGATATTTGCTAAAACATACAGAGATTCCAAACTGTATTCAAATTGAACAAAACCCTCCGTAAAAATAAAAATACCAAGAAGTGTTTGACAAGAGGAAGTAAACTCTCCAAAGATATTCATAGTAACCTTAGACAATATCATAAAAGATTGTGCAAGGGAAGGAAACAGATTTAATATTGATGGTGAATGGTTAACACACTTGAAATTTGCCAATGAACAGTTATTAGTGGACTCATGAATTGCAGAAGCAATGGAAATGGTCGAAGAAGTAAAGGTGAAAGCTCTAGAAATTGGTCTAAAGGTCAGTATGAAAAACTTAGTTTATTAATATTAATATCAAAAGGTAAACAATAACTTGTTGAATGTATCAATATCTTTCTTGGTCATCAAATAAGCATCTTTGGGTAATTGAGCAAGATAATTATATGAATCTCATTAGGGTAAAGATCTATGTGGAGGCATTTAGATGTTTTACAAAAGCAAGGCTGAAATGAAATTGAAGAAAAAAATATGAAAATAGCTTCCCTGTATATAACTGTAGCCAGTTCCACCAGTCCTAATATATATTTAGGAAATTGGGACATTGAACAAAAAAGTCATGCAAAACTACAAACATCTGAATGTGGTATCATACGTTATATGCTGGAGAAAGCTAGAAAAGAGCTGAAAACCACATTATGGATCAGAAGTAAAACTCACTAGTTAAACATACTGGAAATGTCTCCAAGAAAATATGATAATGGGCTGGCCATTTTATAGGAGAAAAGAAGACAGCTGGACCAAGATAATTATGGAATGACAGCCTTGGTAGCACACAAAAGCAAGAGGTAGACTGGTAACCTCAAATTATTGGAAGGAGAAGGGGAACAAAATGATATTCTCATCTCTTCACAATATTTTTGTTGTTGAAGTAATTGCCTTCCCTCTCAAACGTCTGCACCTATGCTCTTCCTTTGTCCGAACATCCAGCAATAATTCATAGACGTTTTAACTCAGTATTTTTCCAATGAGCTTGATAGTTTTTCTTTGGATGCCACCTATTCATGGGACCTTGTAATTTTACTTCTTCAGGATGAGGAGGCTTTAGATTATCTTCTTGTGGAATTCTGATATCCTTATCCTATACATTTTGCATTAAAATGAGCGATTCTTTAAAATAAGTTTTCTATCCTTCTAGAATATGTTTTTGTTCACTAGTATCTGTCCTATTTCATTTTTATAAAAACAGATTCAAGGATGAAAGTGGTTTTTTACATTTTTAACCTTTCTGTAGATTTTTCTATAATTATTGCTTGAGGATTCTTCTAGTATCAGTTTAGTTGTTTATCATCTTTTTAACTCTTATGTTTTCTTTACTATTGGTGTTTTTTTTTGTCTTGTTTTTGGTCTAGTTTTCTAATATGGGTATTGTTCTTCTTTTTTAAAAATATTAATGCCAAAAAAAAGACATTTGTTGAGCTCTCAGTGCTTACATTTTTTATCCTTTGGCATTTCTTCTATAGTGTTACTTCCTCTCTGCCCAGTGTTTTTTAAATTCTTAACTGCTATGACCACAGGCGGATTTACGGGGGAGGGCTTTCGGGCTGAAGCCCCCCCCCAAAATGGTAAAATATATATGCATGTTTTATGGTAAAAAATGTTAAAACATTAAGTCTTAAAGCATTATTGCTCATTTAATTACATTTAATAGGACTTAAAGAATCACTTAAACACCATTTCATATAGGTAGTTAGTATATTTCTGTTTTTCTAAAGTAATTATCGTTTTATATATGAAAAAAAAAGCTTCCGGGCTGAAGCCCCCCCAAAATTAAATCCTGGATCCGCTAGTGGCTATGACTGGCAGATTTTTTCTTATATATCCCCCTAATGAAGTGATGTTCACTGAAAGAATCTGCTACTCTATACCTGTGTACATTGGCTTTGTCGTTTAGGGTCTGTTATTAATCATCACTTGGAACTTTGTTTTCTGTCTGAAGAGACCAATTTTTGTATATGAGCTCTTGATTGTTGAGAGATGTTGATGTACTGGTAATCCTCAGGTATGATGAATTCCTCAGCTCCTGAATCTTTTTTTATTTTGAGACCTTACTGTCACTTAGAGTTCAACAATATATATCTTTTATTGCCTCAAACATTAGATTCCAGCTTGATGATTTAATATAAATTTGGTGCAAGCCTCTTTCAAATAAAGTTATATATATATTTCATTACAGATGGCATATGAAATTATGAAACTTGAAACTAAATTACTAGATCTTAAAAGGAAATGGAAGGGTTTAGCCAAAAGGTCTTCTAGACCAATTGATGAAGAAAGACAAAACATTATGGATCAAGTAGTTCATGATAATTCAAAGATACTGATTATGGAGACTGCTATTCATGATACACTGAAGAAAATTAAGAATTTAGAAGAAATAATTGCTTTCACAAGTGTAAGTAAACTTCTTCTTGAAAAACACCGAAGACATATACATTTTTGTGAATTTGTACTTGTATAAAGAACTAATAATTAAAAATAAAAGACAATTATATATTCCATGCTAAATTTTAAAAAATAGTTGGAAGATATAGTTCCAAAAGTAAATTTAAAATAGCAATAGAACAATCAAGACCATATCCTATGCTGTGTTTTTTTATTATTAGATTTGGATGTTATAATTTCTTAGCCACTTTTTTATTTAGATTTTTTTTTTCTTAAGGAACCAGAAGAAGGGTATGATAATCGACATGCAAAATACGTTGACTTACTTAAAGAAGGAAAGGCTATTGAAACTTATTTATCAGGTTTTGAGGTAACCAAACAAGAAGAGAAACACAATTTAAAAGTTTTAGAAGATGAGCTTTATAGTCTACTCAATCTACTGAGTACTAAGTTATCAAATATGCCAACGGCAGCAGATTATTTGTCATTGCAGACAAATAAGTATGGTGCAGCTGATCTCTTGAACACATTTGAATCTACACGAGCTGAGTATAAAAAAGTTCAAACATTTCTTAAAAAGGTAAGTATATAGCTGATTGTATTTCATTGTCCGTCAATTTAAAATAAATGATTATTTTATAGTTGTTAATTAAGGTTATTGAAACTAAAAAAACTGCCTTGCTCCACTTCTGGTGCTGGCATTTATGCTTTACATATCAAGTTACTTCTCCTGACAATCATTTTCTTGCAATGTTGACAAGTATTTCAACAGAAAAAAATATTTTTGTCTTCTGGTAGTAGTGGGAGACTGTTAATTTTAGACCTTAATAACATTTGTACAGAAAAGAACATTTTATTTTCTAACACATTATAGAGTATAAAACAATATACGCATTACACAAGAGAAGATAATAACATTTGTTTTACAACATTTGACACTCAAGAGGATTTATTTCCTCAACATCTCCCTCTTCAAGTTCTTATGAATTTCCTATTTCTTCTGTAGTCTTCCTTCCACTTTTTACGAGATATCTTCTTCCACTCTCGACAGAGATGACCCAATCAGCAGCTTTGAAGGGCTTACATTCAAATGTTGGAGAGGAATATTCCTCCATTCCAGAAAGGCCATTTCCAATTCTCCTTTTCCTTTCTTCACTATTTTGATTTAGAGTTTTGCTGTTCTTACTGCCAAGACAGTTCTGGAGACTCTTGTGAAATAAGAATTTCCTTCCTTTGTGCAACAGTGTAATTTTTGCATGGAACACAGTTTTCAATATTGTTTTTACTGACCTCAGACGTTTTTCGCCAGAAAACTTGGCAGATGCATCTATCACTCCCATGGTAAGTCGAATGAATTGTTTTAATCAAGTTTGGTCTTAAAGCCTTAGGTACATAAATCCTGTCTCCCTTCAACATGACATCATCTTCTTTTAATGTCAGTTCATCCCTATACCCCAAAAGTAAGTCTTTTAAAACCATGGTCCTCTTTTCTGACCATCCCTGTTTAATAATCTCTTGAAGCTTCTTTGTTTCATTATGCCTTGCAGTCTTGCTGAACCTCTTTTATACAGTTGTCAGTTATGGGGAGGGATATAAGTTGATTTTCTTCGCTATGAAATACAATTGTGTTCTTTATCACACTCTAACATAGTTCTGTCGTCCTGATCTGGAATCCTGGATAAGAGGTCTGCCACATGAATACTTCTGCCTGCTTTGTAGAACTGTTTAAATGTAAATCTTTGTTTGTATCATCATTTGTTGTAGGCATCATTATTCGAAGAACCCGCATAGATGGTTGGTTTAAAGGTTTTTTAAACATGATTCTAGGGGTTTGAGGATTGTCTCCATAGTAATGCTAGTATTGCCCAATAAATAAAGCTTAAATTTTCTGAAGCCAAATACTATGGCCAAACATTGTTTCTCAATTTGGGCATAAGCTCTTTCTGTTTTGGTCATCGCCTTGGAAACAAACACAACTGGTCGTACATCTTGCATATGGTATGCTTCCAATCCATTTTGACTCGCATCACATTGCAGAGTTACAGTTTTGTTGAGTTTATATATAAGTATTTCAGAGTGGGTGGATTGGATGCTAAGTAAATTAGTTCTTGGAAAGCAACTTCCTGTAAGCTTTCCCAAATCCAATACGAATCTTCTTTTATCAGGTCTCTGGTCTGGAAATCTCAGTGAAGTATGAAATAAATTTTCCAAGATAGTTGATAAAACTCATAAATTCAAGTAATTCTTACTTTGTTTTAGGAATCTTAACAAAAGTTTTAATGTGTTTCTATTTTGTTCGGATCGGATTTCATACTTACCTGTAATTAAATGTCTCATAAACATTATTTCTGAGAGCCCAAAGTGACATTTTTGTTTAATAAACTTGAAATTTTTTCTCTGGTCTTCAGTAACAAATCTTTTAGTTTTTTATTGTTATTAGTCATCGCTTCTGTTGTATTTCATTTTTTCCAATTACAAGGATATCATCTACTATAGCAAAAACTCCATCTAAACCCTAAATCCCCTCATGCACCCGCCTTTGAAATTCCTTAGGTGCTGTGTCTACACCAAAAAGCAATCCAACAAGCTGAAGATTTGAGCGTCCTCGAACTAGAAAAGTTCATCTAATGTAGGAGATAGATACTGAGAGACCTCCTAGTGGCCTTGTTTAAGTAATGGGGATCTATCCATAATCATAGTTTATTGGTTTTGTTTTTTACAATCCCCAACTTAATAATCCACTCTGTTTGTCCGATTTCTTTGATTATAACCCCCAGCTTTTCTAGTCTGCTAATTTTTCCTTTGACTTCCTCTCATAAGGCTAATGGGATCCGCCTAAGAGGAGTGACGACAGGCGAGACCGATGGATTTACGCAGAGGTCATATGCACCGAAGTACCCCAGACCTTCAAAGACTTCAGGAAACAAGTCAACTAAATTAGGTTCTGTTGTAGCCTTATATACCTCTTCATTCGTTATCAGTAAACCTAATTTCAAGCAGTCATCAGTTCCGAGAAGTGTGCCTTTATTAGTATTTAATACCTTTAATTTAATTTTGTACGTCCTTCCTCTGAAGTGTCCTCTGATCGTTACTCTTCCCAAAGAACGTGCATAAGCACTCCCATAGAAACATAATTTTGCATCACTACTTCCTAGCTGTATGTAATTTTTTTTTTCTAGTAAGTCTTCTAAAGTATTTAAACAGTAATGTTATATAAGGTTTGTTATATATAATAAAGTATGTTAAAGTAATTAACATTTAAGCAATTTAATTTTCCCCTTGACACGAATCCTAAGATAAAAAAATAGCTGTCATTTGCCATTAAGAGTTGCACTGTACACTGGCTCTCCCACATTATTCTCATCTGACCCTTTGTTCCCGTAGCTTCATCAATAACATTCTGAACCTTTCACTTAAAACAGACTCTACTGAAATGGTTTTTCCCTTTACATAAACTGCAAATCTTTCCAAACGGTGACAGTTACCAGAACCCTTCCTATGTTCTATTCCGCATAACTTGCTGTGCATCGTCACAGATTTCTTTCCAGCTATCTTCTTGGTGACATGTACATCCTTTCACTTATGTTTCCTTCACCCACGATCTGATTGGCACACCTGCTAGCAACTCGTTCACCGCCTGTGCTAGGCTCAGCTTTGTCTCAACAAGTAAGCGTTTTCTGATGGTATTTTCTCTTTACCCAACCACTAACCTATCCCTGATTAGTCACTTCTCTATACCAATTTGTTCCTTGAAAACCATATTTGCCTGCCTGATTTTTAGCCTATTGATGAATGCTCTCATGGACTCACCCTCCCCTTGTCTCATATTATTAAAGACGATGCGCTCATATATAATGTTTTGTGGCACATAAAAATGCTTATCTAAGGTATTAATAAAACTTTCTACTGTTTTTCCTTCATAACCTTCAAGCTTATTCAAAAGGTTCAAGCCCTCAGTGTCCAGTAGCGATATAAATAATGTAGTGGGTACTTTTTTGCTTGAGTAGCCTTTCTTGCTACCGGCATCCAGCAGTATTTGATAGTTCTCCCAATGACATTTGAAAACTGTCCAGTTTTCACAGCTTTGATCAGAATCCGAGAGATCTAAGGCATGTGAAATCAGTAGACTGGACATTGCAACGAATAAGTTTAATTCTGACTTGGCACGATGTTAATTTTAGGCTTATATAACATTTGTACAGAAAAGGACATTTTATTTTTTAACACTATATACAATATAAGATAAAACAAGAGAATATGCAATAACATATAATTTATAACAATTGACGATCAAGAAGGATTATTAGAAGGATTCCCTCAACAGAGATTCACAAGTTTGTTTAGGAAGAGAGGAAAATTCTTATAACTATACTATTCAAATCACAGATTGTCCTTTATACTCATTGGTTATAAGGAGGGGAGATTCCCTTGCATTGAAACATAGTTTGATGACATTGAAAAAGTGGGTTATACATACCCTAAATTGCATAAGCTATAGCTTGTAGCATGTATTGAGAGAGAGCATTGTGGTATGATTTAGTTGTAATTAGTATACTAATTGTTATATGGGTATCAAATTACTATTTTGGGGGAGATACATATCTGCATCACTCTTGAAAAATTTCTACTACTAAGGATTTCCTCTCAAAAGTTCTGTGAACAAGAATAGCTCATAATTTGGAAATTACTCTATGATATAATAGATATAAAAAAACATGATCATTTGCAAGGAAAAACGTGGTGTGTAATAAAAATATTAATATTTACACTTTTCATGTCTCGTTAAGCTCCAAATGAGAAATTCCACATAAAAGAACAATGCATTATTAGTTCTTGGAACAAATGTATTATCTGGATGTATATCTGGAACCTGTATAATCTTCCTTTACAACAAGTGAAAGTTATAAACAATGTCTCAAAAATATTATAGTTAAACTTTATGTGATTGTTAAATATAAAAGATCCTTTTTCACAAGTGAAAATAAACTACATTGAGATAAAATTTTATTATTTAAACTATTGTAATTAACTAACTCTTTTTGAATTTTTGATTATTTTTACTTAAAATATAATTTTGTAGAGATGGTTGACCGTGATATAATATGAGGAGTTTATCAGGGGGGGGGGGCTGTGGTCAAATAAATACTAAATTATAGAAATAGTATTATTTAATTAAATTTATTATCATTATGTATTATCTACTATTTATTATTAAATATTTAATTAAATAATACTATTTCTATAACTTAGTATTTATTTGACCGCACCCCTCCCCTCCCCCCCCTCCCCCGATCAACTCCTTCTCATAAAATATAATTTATATTGTTAATGAAAAAAAAAAAAAAATTAACACTTATCTTTATCATTTGGTAGTGCACATAAAACCAAATGATGAAATCAGAAAACACGAAAACAATGCATTAGTATGTGACAGTGTTGGCTAATTTGTGTTTTCCTATATTTCTTCGATATAATGGTCGATTTATATGTTTTCAGAGCCACATTTTTTGAAAATGGTCTCCATTTTAAGATTACGCTACTGCGTTGCGCCTTATTTGAGTTTTTTGGATTTCTTCGATATATAAGGGTCGATTTATATGTTTTTGGGGCCACAGTTTTTGAAAATGACCTCCATTTTTGGAGTATGCAACTGTGTTGGGGTTTATTTGTGTTTTTCTGTATTTCTTCGATATAAGGGTCGATTTATATGTTTTTGGAGCCACAGTTTTTGAAAATGATCTTCATTTTAAGATTAAGCCACTGAGTTGCGGCTTTTTTCTTAAATTATGCAACAATGAAAGATCTAATATAAAGTAATAAAGTAAGTGATAGACTGTTTGAAATGAGGGTGGTTTTGAAAGCAAAGTCCTATCGCCGTCAGTACTTCCTAGCCACCTTTCTGTACCAAATTATTAGAACCCATCGACCCTCCTACATTTTTCACAGCTTACAATTCAAATATTCCATCCAATCCCGTCCCACCAGATCTCGTACTTCCGACCTCTATCCTCCTCCTCACCGAACTGCTGCGTTTGACAAATCCTTTGCAATACAAGCCGCCTCCCTCTGGAATTCCATCCCAGCTGATATTCGACACGCTCAATCAGTTTCCTCGTTTAAACCACTCCTCTTTAAGCACCTACTCCTTTCTCAATCCGAATGATTGTGAAATATATCTTAGAGAAATATCTGAGCACCACCAGAGACTACCTCAATTTATTAAGGTTATTTTAGTTTCTCATACATATGTACAATTTACTTGTTCTTTTTTTTTCTCTTTTCTGTATTTTTATCGTAAGTCAACTTTCATTGTAAATATACAATTCAATTGTAGCCACACAGACATATAATCTGTATTCATATTTTGTTCTTAAGGGACAACAGTCCCAGAATAATAAAACATTTTTTTCATTTCATTTCAAATATGATAACTTCAAAGTCAAAAATGTGAATTAATTGATTTTTTATTTTTGAATAAAAATTAAAAAGATGATTTCTATGTTTTAAATTTCTTTCCATGTTAAATTATTGAATTTGAAGTTTGTAGATTTATTTAACACGTTAGCTGCTGAGCATGATATTTCTTAAATGTCTTTCCCGGTGATATTGGCCCCTGGCGACCGACACTAGTTATTAAGTTACTAACGGCATCAGACGCCGGAGACATGCATTAGTTTTGGGGTATACCGCTATTTTTTGACAACAAAGGTGAACTAAATTCCCTATGTAGAGTGTCTATCTGTTGATTGTGTCCTTATTAATGGCCAGCAATTGTAGGAGTGGATTCGGATGTCCGATGCCATTTATATGACGAGTTTTCTATTATTTCTCTTTATTTCAGTAAACAAGTGTTATTTTTAGGGATATAAATCTTAAATATTGAAAATGAAATGAGAAAAAGTTTATTTATTACATATAATTATAATTTTCCAGATATAATTTATACATTATTTATATATATATATGTGTGTGTTATTTATTTATATTTATACATGTTAAATAAGCAAGGGTAACAGTGTAAGATGAACTCTCAAGAGTTACTGCACGACAGAAGCCCGAAGAAGACAAGATCATGTATGTGCACTGTCCTGTCACGGCAGGAATATGTATCAGACGCCGTGGGGTGATACCGTAGGGAAATCATTTTTTATCAGTTTTGTACGATATCGGTCTCCGGCATTCTAAAACTTTTTATCAGATATAATGATTATTTACGCTCGTATCTTTATATCTATCCAACCTCCATTCAATTATTTTAAAAATTACCATTTTAGAGACTTTGTAAGATAGACAAAATTCGAAAAAATCCTGGCCGTTCGGTAGTCGAGAGGTATATCGGACTCTGGGGACAGCAACCGCAGCTAACATGTTTTAACATCCTACTATAAATAACAAATATTGGAATTATCATAAAAAATATTTTTCTTTGATTAAGGAATATAAGGGAGGCCTTAATAATTATAATCCGCTAAATGTAGCTTTAAAAAATTACAACATATTCGTGAACATATGAATAATAATACATAAATAACTGAAATTTCTTAAATTCTAGAAATTTATTGTACCAACTTGGTATTATATGGAGCAGCTTTTGATACTAAAGGTCACAAATATTTTACATTTCATGATTCACAGAAAATTATAAGAATTATCAAATATAATACTTTTTATATTGTGCAAACAATAAAACTGAAAAATAAATACGGTTGGTTACCTTATACCTCATTGTCAATACACTAACATCTTAAGTAAATTTGAAAATTGCAGGTATACATTTTTGAACTATTTTTTACTTTTTAGAAATGTATCAGAGACAAAGCTCGTTTTCAATAAACTTAAATAAAATTTTCAATCAAATTATAACAAATTCTCCAACAAAAATTAACACATAAATCTATTCAGATAAAAGCTTATTACTAGGTTGCACAACATTAATTAATTTTATTTGATTAACTAATTTAATTCTCAAACAAATTAATGGACAAAAGTATACCTATATATAAAAAAAAAAAACCTGTACCACTACAACCCATGAAGAGTCTTGAGTTCAGTACTATCTAGGGAAAGCACTGTTTCTAGGTCAATGGTTGTGCAAGGAGGTGATTTGACTGAGATCACACTCAACCGCCAGGTTTTCCCACTTAATCAATTATTCAATTAAGGGTACTCATTTTACAGAGGCTGAGTGTGCCCCAGGAGGGTCTCCCAACCCAGGGTCGCCCTACAGCCAATGAAACAGATAAATAAATTTTATGCCATGAACCGGGGTTCGAACCCGGGACGACCTTTAGCATTGGAAGCTCAGTACCCTACCACTGAGCTACCCCACTCCCACTTTTTTTTTTTCCCGCCGTATACCTATAGATACAGTGAAAAAAAAAAATACAAAAAGCCAAAATTAATAGAAATGCCGCATTAAAATAGATATTTTTTAAAAATCACTATGTCTCCAAATACATATTAATGGACCCTTATATTACAGAAATCAAAAAAACTCAAATAAGCTGCAACACAGTGGTGTAATCCTAAAATGGGGATATTTTTTTTAAAACTTTGGCCTCGAAAACAAATAAATCGACCCTTATATCCAAGAAATACAAAAAACTCAAAAAAGGCCGCAACGCAGTGAAATAATCTTGAAATGGAGATCATTTTTGAAAACTACGGCTCCTTAAATATATAATAGAGCCTTATATCGAATAAATCCAAAAAACTCAAATATCTGCAACGCACAGGCGGATCTATGGGGAGTGGGGGAGGGCTGAAGCCCCCTCCCCAAAAAATGGTAAAATATTACCATGTTTATAGAAACAAATATTAAAAGCTATCTCTTAAAGTATTATTGTTTGGGTAATTGCATTTAATAGGACTTCAAGAATCACTTAAAAACCATGTCATATAGGTAGTCAGTTTCTTTTTTTTCCAAATTAATTATTGTTATATATATATATATATATATATATATATATATATATGAAAAAAAAATCTTTTGGACTGAAGCCCCCCTAAAATTAAATCCTGGATCCGCTAGTGCTGCAATGCAGAGGCGTAATCCTAAAATGGAGATCATTTTCAAAAACAGTGGCCTTGAAAACATATTAATGTTCCTTAAAATCGAAAAAATTCTTAATATTTCAAAAAATTTATTCTAATTGTATTTTTATCTTAATAACGAATAATAGATAGTGCATTTTATCTGCAAATAACAAATAACTATCAGTCCAAAAGTCATTGAATAAGAATAATGAATAAATATGTATCTATTATTTGTTATCTAGATAAAATTTCAAATAATTTATTCGAATAACGCCCAACACTGGTATATGATGACCTAATTGCTCCTTGGCCTATTGAGTAATAAATTAGAATATTGAGTTAGGTCATTTATCATGTATTATATTTCTTTTCATATTGAAGAATGTCACTTTTACAGGTAGAAATAATGGAAGTCAAAGTCTCAGAAGAAAGTAAAGATTTTGATTACAAATGTGAAAAAATTAAAGAAAACTTAGAAGAATATAAAACTTGTACTAAATTTAATGATAATATAAAAATTAAGGAAGACGAATTAACTAATCTCAAGGCTAAACTGCATCAAGATAGAGAGAATGTAAAAGAACATTTAGAAAATGCTAAAAACCTCCATTCTAAACTACAGGTTAGTAAACTCTAACAAAATTTAAAAAAATGTTTATAATAAGTTAAGATTAAAATTAAAATTAAGTAAGTTTCACTAACTTATAATTCAAAGTATACACGGTACTACCAAATACAAATCATAAGAGTGAACAAAAAATACTTGGATTGTAAAACTTACAGTGAAATGTTCAGTAAGTAGAGGAAAGCTACTTAAAGCCAAAGCTGGGCCTATTTATTTTTGTATATATAAATACATAATGTATTAATAATTCCGGTACCCTAAGAATATAAATATGAATATAGCTATTTCATATTCACACCTTTAAATATAAATACGGTTAAGTTAAATTCATTTCATGCCTCTCTAGATATGAATTTAACTGAATAGGAATATTTTCAAATAATCTTATAAATGGATACTCTTATTTATTAAACAAATATTCCTCGCACGGGCTCATTACCACGTATGGCAAGCGTCCTACGGATGGCGGATATGGGGATGGTTGGTGGAAATTCCTCTCTGCTAAGACCGATGGACCAACAATGAGAGGGGACCTCCAGAGTCAGAGGGTGTGACGTAGGATTGAACGCCCTACTCATATCTTTAGTTCTCCATTCACCACAATCATGGATCTCCCTAAGGTAAAACGCTCATTATCCTGAGGTAAACTAGTTCCCCATTAGGTTCTCCAGGTGGGGACTGCTTTAGGGGATTCATGGCGCAAGTTGAAAAATAGGGATTTAAGTATTGGTACGTGGAACGTAAGGAGTTTGAATTTAGCACGTGAAATCGGTCGCAAATGAGGTTAATGGGTACAGTTTGGATATCGTGGCTCTGGAAGAGGTTTGCTGACCAGGCGAGGGCTCAATAAGGAAAGGAAAGTATGATATTCGGTAAGGAGGAAGTGGAAATCATTGTTTAGGTACCGCGTTTCTAATTAGGAACAGATTACTATCCGCTTTGAGGGACATACAATTCTTTCGTGATAAAATTTTGGTAGCTATATTTGAGGGATGTTGGTTTAAAATCACGTTAATAAACATACCGTTTTAAACATGATTCTAGGGGTTTGAGGATTGTCTCCATAGTAATGCTAGTATTGCCCAATAAATAAAGCTTAAATTTTCTGAAGCCAAATACTATGGCCAAACATTGTTTCTCAATTTGGGCATAAGCTCTTTCTGTTTTGGTCATCGCCTTGGAAACAAACACAACTGGTCGTACATCTTGCATATGGTATGCTTCCAATCCATTTTGACTCGCATCACATTGCAGAGTTACAGTTTTGTTGAGTTTATATATAAGTATTTCAGAGTGGGTGGATTGGATGCTAAGTAAATTAGTTCTTGGAAAGCAACTTCCTGTAAGCTTTCCCAAATCCAATACGAATCTTCTTTTATCAGGTCTCTGGTCTGGAAATCTCAGTGAAGTATGAAATAAATTTTCCAAGATAGTTGATAAAACTCATAAATTCAAGTAATTCTTACTTTGTTTTAGGAATCTTAACAAAAGTTTTAATGTGTTTCTATTTTGTTCGGATCGGATTTCATACTTACCTGTAATTAAATGTCTCATAAACATTATTTCTGAGAGCCCAAAGTGACATTTTTGTTTAATAAACTTGAAATTTTTTCTCTGGTCTTCAGTAACAAATCTTTTAGTTTTTTATTGTTATTAGTCATCGCTTCTGTTGTATTTCATTTTTTCCAATTACAAGGATATCATCTACTATAGCAAAAACTCCATCTAAACCCTAAATCCCCTCATGCACCCGCCTTTGAAATTCCTTAGGTGCTGTGTCTACACCAAAAAGCAATCCAACAAGCTGAAGATTTGAGCGTCCTCGAACTAGAAAAGTTCATCTAATGTAGGAGATAGATACTGAGAGACCTCCTAGTGGCCTTGTTTAAGTAATGGGGATCTATCCATAATCATAGTTTATTGGTTTTGTTTTTTACAATCCCCAACTTAATAATCCACTCTGTTTGTCCGATTTCTTTGATTATAACCCCCAGCTTTTCTAGTCTGCTAATTTTTCCTTTGACTTCCTCTCATAAGGCTAATGGGATCCGCCTAAGAGGAGTGACGACAGGCGAGACCGATGGATTTACGCAGAGGTCATATGCACCGAAGTACCCCAGACCTTCAAAGACTTCAGGAAACAAGTCAACTAAATTAGGTTCTGTTGTAGCCTTATATACCTCTTCATTCGTTATCAGTAAACCTAATTTCAAGCAGTCATCAGTTCCGAGAAGTGTGCCTTTATTAGTATTTAATACCTTTAATTTAATTTATAAACATAAAACCGACCACAGACCGTGACAATGACGTCAAATGTGAATTTTACTTCCGAACTTCAAAGAATGAAACGGCAAAATTGCTCAAACAGAAAAAAAGGGAGTATCTTAAAAATAAAATAATAGAAATAGAAATAGAAACTAATAGAATCGAAAATAACATAAGAGACAAGTAAAAAGGTATAAACAGATCACATAAATATTTAGGGCCGTCACTTCTGGAATTAGGGATGAAAATAACAATATTCTGAACTATCCGATAGACATTAAATAAGTTTAGAACCATTTTGACAATATTTTAAATACGGAAAACTATAATCTGTGTTCTTCTTCTGAATAGCAGAGTACTGAACCGTTAATAGAAGAACTAAGTAAAGAGGAAGTTGAAGTAGCTATTGGAAAATTAAAATTTTAAAAAGCAGCGGGAACCGATAATATTCCTAGTGAATTATTTAAGGCATGCGGGGAAGAGGGAGTTTCTAAAATACATTTGTTGGTTAGAAAGATCTGGGAGAAGGAGAAATTACCTGAAGAATTGAAAGAATCTATTCTTATTCCGATTCACAAAAAGAGTCCGAGGACGGATTGTAATAACTATCGAGGAATTTCACTCCTTCCGGTGCGTTATAAAATATTCACTTTAATCTTAACTAGTCGAATCACGGAATGAGCCGAGGAAATTATCGGTGACTACCAATGCGTATTTAGAAGGAACCATTCGACTATTAATCAAATATTTTCTTTACGGCAAATATTGGAGAACAAATTTGAGTACAACGGTGTTGTTCACCAGCTTTATATCAATTTAAAAAAGGCTTATGATTCTATTGACCGCCAGAAACTGTATAATACCCTAATCCAGCAGGGGATCCCAAAAAAATTAGTAAATCAAGTTAGAATGTGCTTGACAGAAATACACAATAAAGTTAGAATCGATAATAATTTATCCGAAAAGTTTGAGGTTCATTCAGGTTTAAAACAGGGTGATTCATTTTCGCCTGTCCTGTTCAATTTGGCATTAGAATATGCCATTAGGGAGGTAATGCGTACCAAAAAAGGGTTGGATCTGGGTGGGACAACACCCGTACTTGGCTATGCGGATGATCTGGCTCTGTTAAGCGAAGACACGGAAACTATAATACTAAATAAGACAACGTTAATGAATGAGTTAACCGGAGAGTTCAGATGTACTTTGTTACAGTTATTATTATTTATTTCTTAGTTCTCTGTTACTGATATCATTTTACCTACTTTGTTATACATTAATGTTCATTCCATCTACTTCATTTTACATTAAGTTGTTCTACTAAAAATTATTAGTCTATACCTATCACTTTTTTAAATCTTAATTCTGTATTATTCAATGTTATTATACCTATTGTGATTTGGTTCTTTTCCCAGCCCTGATGAAGGCCTGAACTTTGGCGAGTGTAAAAATAAATAAAATTATTTATTTTTTACAATTTCAATTTGACTGATCACCCCAACCATCCTTCTCTTCAATTATTCACTACAGTCAACCATAAACCCACAATTATGTTACCCACAATCTAAGTTATTATTTTGAGGTATAGTTACTATCTAACAAAAATTTACTTGGCATACTTTACTGAAAAAGCCTTTTGGTTTTTATGATTTATGATACATTACAACTAATTTAATACAATAGTCAACATTTTTTTCTTATTCGCACAAAAAATGAAATTGATTGATATATAATAACCTAAAAATCCGGGCAAAAATGAATAACATAAATTATGTTTGAAATTATATATATATTTTTCTCTTTCTTGGCTCCTAGGATCCATTGGAATGAATGCCGGGGCATGGGTCCAATATTTTTCAATGTAGTATCACTGAAAAAAAAATTGGTTGAAATCAGTGACCCACTGACCGATTAGTTCAAATTTATTAGCGATGACAGGATAAAATTTTAGGTCATCTATTTTAAAGCAACAAACATTTTTGCCATTATAACATGGCCTTTATTATATATAAATAGAACTATCACACATTTGATGCAATTATTTTGGACCTTTAAAACTGAAATACATAAGTGTGTGTATGTTTTAAAAGTAAAATATATATGTATACATAAAATATTTAAGTAACATACTGTTATAACTAATACATTAATATTAATATTTGTAGCTGCAGCTCTATGAAAATGAAAATCACATACAGATCATTTCAATGGAAAAAAAACTCTCCAATATAGCACAAAACGTGTTTTTGATGAAAGAAAATATAGAAGAAATGAAATCTAGTTCTATAAACATAATAGAACTTAGAAAAGAAACTTTAAGTTTGTTGCAATCATTAAATATGTTTCTCAGAAATAATATAAATCTGTAAAATTAATAAAATATTGAGTAATTTAATATTTCAATTAAAGTTATTACTTGTATAAGCATTAACAATAAGTTTTATTCCTGTAAATCCTATTTTATATTTAAATAACAATTTTTTATTTAAAAACAATAAACTGATAAGAGCTTTGATTAATTTTTAAAATAATAACAGATTTACATATTTTACATATATATATATATATATGCATGAGGAAAATATGAGCTATTAAATCAATAAGTTCCAAAAAACAAAAATTAATTTGAAATAAACACATTGTAAAAAATTGTATGACAAAATTATATATTATTTCAACTGCTTATCATAATTTTATCTTACTATAAGTACTTCTTCAAATTAAAGTATTAATAAAAATTAATTTAAATAATTAAAATTTATAATATAGAACAAAAAGTGTAAATATTTTAATATAATAAAAAATCATAAGATGGAAATCATAAAATTTAAAAAATAACAAATAACAAAATTATAAATTTATATATTGCAGCAGTATGCAGGTGCTGATTTATTAGCACTTAAATCTATACATACGCAGTTACATAAACCAAAGTACTTCCTTATATATATATTACATTTAATGTATTACAGTAAATAAATCACAACTTATTGATTCCACTGAAATTCTATATAATATAGGTTTTCTACTTAAAAACAATAATAACAAATATATCTTTTATTTTAAAAAAATAAATAATATTTAATAAACTAGAGTCATTGTACAATTATAATTCCACTGCTTTCCAGCACAAATTTATACATAAATATACATATAAATATAAATGTATTATTTATTTATTTAACATAAAGCTATTGCAAGTACTGGAAAATAGCTGAAACTAATATCACAATACTGAATTTAATTTTGGTATGACATTTATAGTGTTTGGTGAAGACATTACAGTGTTCTCATTAAGAACATAATTAAAATGCATGACTTAATGAATGTTACTAGGTGTACTGGATGGATGAAACAATAATTCCAAATTTAGTATCTACATACAATTTAATTTAAGAATGTCAACTGTCACTAATAGTTTCAATACTCAAGAAAAATTGTATGAAATCTACTGTTCCTCTGAAACCTATTTAAAAATAAAACCAACTTGAACAAAAAATATTGGAAAGGAACTTAAAATAATCATAGTACCACATCATAGTGCATCATTACAAGACTCAACGAATATTTCCAAATAAATTGAGCACAGATTTACTTTCCTGAAAAAGAACCAAAAGAGTAAACATCATTAATGACACGGAAAATAAGAAAAGAAAAATAACTTTATCATAAATTTAGTGAGATTAAAATAATAGCCACTAATTTTAATAAATTAAAAATAAACATAAATGTAAATAACAGCATTTAAAAGCTTATAACAGCAAGTTTCTATTTTGAATTTTGTTTCACTTTTGGCTTCATAGATCTGACATATCTTGGTTAAACCTTTTATGCTCAAGGAAAAATTTTGTACATAACATTTGTTAGAAGTCTTACTGATATGCCACCCAAGGGAGTATTCACCCAAAACCTAAGTGAAGTTATGGAAGTGATAGTGGCCTATCTGACGAACTATCTTGTTAAAATTGATTGTAAAAAAAGAATAAATAAATAATTTTTCAGTTCTAAGCCTCGGAAATGTCAGCTTGATCTTCCCTTTAGTCAGATCATCAAACATTGCAGATATAAAATCACAACTACTTTTTGAATTGCCTCCTTCATGTGTTTGTTTTTTTTTTTCTAATATAGGCAGTTTTTTTCTTTGATATTCTTTGGGAATGTGTTCTATTAATTAATCTAGTACCATTATAAACACATTGGAGATAGTTACAAAATCAAAAAACCACTAATCGTGGTAATGTTACTGCTTCAAATGATCCTAATTTAATTTTTTATTTGCGTTCCTGAAAGCAGACAGATTAATCCTTTGACTGTGGATGAGATACATGCCTTCCCGTTAAGAGTTTGGTCAATGGTGCAGACGGGATATATGCCTTCCTACTTGGGCGGTCGCCACTTAAAAAGGTAGGGGCAAATCCTGTCTTCACCATTTGACTTGTAGCTTGGTCGGCGCATTCATTAATTCTCTGTAGCTGACTCAGTGGGGTCATTCCAGATTCTGACCATTTGGAAGCTACTAGTTGCAGATTTATTCTGAACCCAAGTTATGTCCTTTCTCTGTTATTTGTGTCATATCCATGATCTTATTTATATTCTATTTAAATGTTTTATACATCAAATAAATGATAAGTTAATTTCATAATTTTTTCTTTTTTTTTAATTCTGGTTTTGACTGAAAGCTGATTTTGGCACACGTGAATCTCTGCCTACTAAACAAATAAATATAAGTTTCCTAAATTGTATATATATATATATATATAATGTAATATAAAAATATACAGAATTAAAGTGATATTTTAGTTGTTTAATAATTTTTCCATCCACCCAAAAACAATTTATATATTTCATATAATATAAAAGTGTTCGAATCTCAAAATAAATCTAAGTGCAATAATATAATTTATAGCTGCACTGTTTCAATATGGGACTTTTTTAGGTAAGAAAAAGATTTGTAAATACAAAGAAATATATAACCTGTATTCCGCCGTTGGTGTCCTTTTTTTTAGAAATAATATAATTTAATTTTTATGATCACTTACAGTTATTTTTATGATAATGTTTAGTTATTTTGCTTTTCAGAAATGAGCAAATACACAAAAAAGCGAAGTGTTGGGGGATCATCCATCTACTTTTGCATTGCTATGAGTGAGCGGGAAGACATATGTCCTGTTTATTAAAAGTTAGATAAAAATGTTAAAATGCATTTTAGAAAGCTAAGATCTTGCAGGGTGGCTCAAAATATCATGTTAAACAAATTTATGGGGAAGAAAATAATTTTTTCTGCAAGTCTTTTTGGATGTAGCATCTGGTAGAAACTCGTGAATGAGTTTCCGCAGTCAAAGGGTTAAAATAATTCACATCCCATTCGTCTCTGGCTACAATCTTAACCTTGCTTTCGCATACTCATTCCTTTATGAGCAAGTTCTTCTTACCATTCTATAATGGCTTGTTGCAGTTTTTCTTGAGAGTTGGTCACCAGCACGATATTATCTGCATATAGTATAACCAGTACTTAAACTGTGCTCATGCTCGACATACCGGCAGTAGTCCAAGCAGTTCTGCATATTTTGTAGATATCATTAATAAAGACAATAAACAATGATAGGCTCAAGCTATACTCTTGTTTCACACATCGCTCAAAGGTAAATGGATTGGACTCTCGGCCACTTCAACACAATTCTTTTAGTGCATTGGTACATTGATTTGTTTGCTGCCAAAAGGTCTTCGGGTATCCTCTTTTCTTTAAGTGCTCTCCATACGTCATATTGGGGTACTGATTCGAAGACAGTTTATAATCCTAGGAAAGCGATATACATATATTTCTATACTATGTCTTTCCTATATTTCTTAGTAAATATGTGGTCTTGAGTTTGCCTCCCTTGGTTGATGGTCTATCTAATTTTAGCTCTATCAGTGGCCTTAACCTGTTTTCTAAAATAGCAATTCATGTTTTTAGGTCATATGGGATAAGCATATCAGCTTGTAGTTGCCACATTCAGTTGTGCTATCTTTTTTTATGAATATTTTTTTATCCAATCCTTTGGAATAAAATTATCAACACATATCTTCTGGAAAATGCTTGCAATAATTTTATTATTTTATTTCTCTTGGAAAATACCATCTCTGCCTCCTACTTTACCTAGCTTAAGTTTCTCTAAAGCCCTTCCTATATCTTTCTCCCAGATTGTATCATATTCAGCCACATGAATGGTCTCTTCCTCATCTGGTAAGTGATCAGATAATTGCTAAGATTAATGTCTCTACCTGTCCAAAATTATCTGGGCCAATGATCATATGTAGTATGTCTACTTTCGTTCTTAATGTTTCTGATCTCTTTACCCTTCAGTGATATTACTTTTTTTACAATTTTTTTTTATATTCTCCCTATATTCATTATCCAGGCATATTTCAAATTCTTCCTAGGACTTTTTCTTGACCTCTCGTATCACAGAAATATAAACAAACAACAAAAAGGGGCAAGTTTGAAGTAACACTGACTGGAAGACTTAATTGTTTTAAAGAAATAAAGTAATTTAAATAGAGGCAAAAATATAAACGAGACTAAGGTTTTAGGGTCTTACAATAGCCTCAGGTTGTGTCTGAAACAATCTAATACTTTAGTTTGTCACATTAAACTGTACCTGCTATGTTTCAGAATTTGTTTCGAAGGAAGATACCTTGTGAAGAAGTTCTTCTAGTTACAAAATGAATTTAAAGTTAAATAACATGACTATCCCTGTACATGATATTGTAGGTCCGTTAAAATTAGTAACTATATATTAATACAAATCTTGTTTACCTAATCATTTTCTTTTTTTGTCAAGTATTAACTAGAATGAAAGGATGAAAGGTAGCATAGTACATAATTCTTTCTTAAGTAATTAATAACAATAAATTTATAGAATAGTTAAATAAATAAAGTAGCTTCATCCAGATGTTTCATAGTGTAGTAGCATTGGAGTGAGTTTCAATCAATACAGGGGCATCAATGTAAGTCACATGGTGAAATAGTTATGCCATAAAAAGTTTTTTGAATAGTTATGTAGCCATTTACAATTGATACAAGGAAAACTCCATATAGACAAAAAGAGAAAGTACGGGGGAAAAGAAAACTGAAAGGATAACTATGAACCAAGTGCTCATGGGAGAATAAGTTGGAATTACATTTATTTGTTTATTATATTATATTTATTCAAAATAAAATTGGCAGGAAAAGGAAAATTTAAATCAAGGATTATAAAAATTAAAATTATTAATATAGAATCATTATGACAAGGTACTATAACATGAATACATACCCTTTGAGATCTTGCCTTAGAAAATACATTCCAAAATCGCAAAGTTTCATCTCCAGCTCCAGTAACAATAGCTTCACCATCTGGGGACATGGCCAAATATAATACTCTGTAAGAGTGGCCAGTAAGTTTAGCAACTTGTGTGAGAGTCGGGTACTTCCAAACCAATATCTGATTCTGTGAATATCCATGAGTGCTTACCTGAAAGAAAATAAGATTGGTGCCTTCATTTTATCAGTTAATCATTCTAAATTTATACAACTGTAAGAGTTATCATTCTACACTTATACAAAATAAAGAGTTATTCTAAACTTATATTACAAAAGAGTTATCAATCTAAACTTATACAAAATAAAGAGTTATTCCAAACTTATATTACAAAAGAGTTATCAATCTAAACTTATACAAAATGAGAGTTATTAGTGGGCCTGAAAACACTACCTATGAATTTAAATAAACTGTATTTCAACAACAGAATACAAATCCTACAAAGCAAATAGATCATTTCTCATTTAGGGTATTACTGATTCATATAATAAATTTCAACATGCATAAAAATGCTTTTTTTTTTATAATGAGTTTAAGTAATTTTTTCCATTACCAAATATAATATTCAATTATATGAGAAGTCATAATTTTATTTTGTTGAATTTTATATGCCTTATGTCTACCTTTAGGCTGTTTATTTGTTTTTATTATTATTATTATTTTCTTTTAGCTATTAAAACTAGCAAAAACAATTATAAAAAATTGTTTTTAACATAAACCAACTTATTAAAAAATCCAGACTAACACTGAATGTAAATTAAAATTAAATTAGTCTTAACAAAATAATTAAAGAATTTTAATACATAAACTTTTCACATTATCTTTTATTTCGATAACTTCTTTTTTAAAAAAAATTACTATGCTGACTTACATAATTTTAAAACCATAGTAAAATATAATATTTGGAACTTACTAATTCAGAGGAATGCTTCGACCATGCAAGATTGCATACTTGTGAACCTGTATCAACACATTGCATTGGTTGACCGGTTAAGGTATTCCAAAATCTAATACATCTGTCAGCTGTACCACCACCACTAGCAAGAAGACCATGATGGTGTGGTGACCAGGCAATAGCTTAAACAAATATACATGTATCTATAGCCATAGTAATAAATATGATTTATTATATAAATATAAGGAATACATTAAGCAAAAATAAAACTTAAGGTAATTATAAAACTCATCATTACATAAATTAAATTTGATACACATAAGACTTGATATTATGAAAAAATTAAAAAATACCTTTCACTGCTGCTAAGTGTTCAGTATATGTCTGGATAGGAGTGAGAGAATGCATGTTCCAAACATACAACCTGTTATCATTGCCACCAGAAGCAAGATGTTGATTATCAGGAGACCATTTCAATCCACAAACCTACATAAAATCATTAAAGATAAATATATGACCATAATATGTAATTAGAGATCAACCGATTTGGAAATGTTGGCCGATAACGGTATTAGAAAGGCCGATATAGCGGCCATATCGGTTTATTGCCCTTTTCTTTAAGGTTTGTACAGTTTCCCATGGAATATCCTACTCATTGCTAAATAAAATAATTAATAGCCCATCTACACATCGCCTTATACACAAATTTTGACCTATAAAAGAGATATAAACCTATATTTCAGCATATCGGCCTTTTATTTCTATATTTCTGGTTCCACATAACATCTCATAGAAAATTCTCATAATCTATATATACATTTCAGCCGATACCAATATTCTAAAAACCAATTATATATATATATATATATATATATATATATATATACAGGGTTAAGTGGCTAAACTGAAAATATGGAATAAGAACCTTAAAACAAGAAAAAAAACTCCTATGAAGGTATGTCCGCAAACACTTTGTTTAGGAGATATTCACACCTAAAGATTTTCATTGTTATGAATTATTTACGTAATATGAAATAAATAAAACTTATTTATTTGTTCTAACTACTTCATTATTAATTAAATGTAAACATTAAATTCATATTAAATGTTGTTCAAAGTGAAGGTATGTCCACGAACACTTTGTTTAGGAGATGGATTAAATAAAATACTAATATGGCTTTTTATCCCCAACTGTATAAAAACTATAGGCAACATAAGGATTAATACTATTTGTAATTAGCAGCGGGAACTTTCAATAACATTTATCAGTTCGTAAGAGGGTTTCACAGAGTACTCATTATTATGCCTTCCATTTATACTAATGGTGAATATGCCGTTTTGGTCTTTGTATATGGTTTTTGCAATGGCAATGCTAATGTTGCCCACCGTGAATATACCAGGCGATTTCCGAATAGAAGATTACCAAACAAGTCTATTTTTAGCTCCACATTTCAACGTCTTAGAGAATTGTTTTTTTAACTTCAACTTCCATTGGACTGATATACCGGCCTTATGATTTTAATTTATCATAATTCATAAACTATTATAATTTATTATTATTTTATCATGAACCTTATATCTGGATAAAATAAGGTTGTGAGGCTGATATATCGACCTCGGTTTCGGTCTCTCTCCCCCCTCTCCCTCTCAGTACTTTTACATTATATATTAGAAATATCTGATTTATTTTCTATATTTTTTTACTATTCAGACAGCAACGCGTGGCCGGGTACAGCTGGTTGACAATAAAATATTTCCTTCCCATCCAGATTATTGTTTAAAAAGGTCATGGAATGATTTGTAAACCATTTTTTAAAATCTAAAACCAGCATGTTTTATTATATTTCATGAACATTTCAAAATCAAAATATAACATTTCTATAAAAAAAATACCACTTGGATGGAGATCATCGATTTCCTTTTTCATTTTCTGGTATTAAATACATATATTCGAATCCAGCATCACAACACTCACTTAGTGGCCAAACTTGCCTTCAAAATATGAAAGAGTTGAAAAGATATTATTTAGCTATTTTTTAAGTGCTTAATTGGCATTATCCTCCGATCACTTTATTTTATTAAACAACAGTCTATCTAATTGTACAAAAACGTTTCTCATCATAATCTCGAACTCTATTTTTAAGACTTTCGTTCCACTAGATTCACAATCGACCATTCTGTGCGAACATAGATACTTTTGTCTCTCATTCATATTAACAACACAATGACTTTCTTAAAAGTTTAGTGTTTTTTTTTTTTAATCAGATTTTTGAATAGGATTAAATATGATATTCTATGTGAAACTGCACAAATCTTGACAGAAATTGATAAAAAGGTCGGTATGGCCAATAAATCAGCATTTAAAATATCAGTATCGGCCAAAATTTCAATATTTGTTGATTCCTACCTGTTACCTTGGGATAACTGGTCTTCTGTTCCCCAAAAGGAAGGGTAGGAATAAGGATAAAGAAAGCATAAAGTTTAAGTGAATGCGATAAGGGAATGGGTAATGTTTCTGCTAGAATTTTGAATTAAGGAGAGAATAAAAGTTCGCATGGGCAGGGTCACTATCTCCCTGAAATAGATCAATTACTCATTGAGTGCATGAAGAAGTATCTACCTGCTACTCATGAATTTGTATTCCTAAAATTGCAATTTTTTAAAAAGTCCACCAAAGGATAAGAGCGGCTTATCCTGGACAACAGACGCTTAAAAACGACACCTTTTGGTAGAAAGATTTATCTACCAAAGTTTCATCTAGCCTACGATGAAAGCTATTTTCAGCAAATTTGGATTTCTTTGCATGACCACCATTTCTGAAAGCAGCGGCTTTGGAATGGCAGACAAAGCTTATTTTAGTTAAAATGTTCTTCACTTTCATAATTTAAATTCAAACCTTCGCATGCGATGAGGTCCGATTTTTGGACCTGGCTCCAGGGCTACCTGACACTTATAAATTAATTTACTTAAATTACATATTGAAATACAACGTGAATAATCTTATATAAATTTTTAGTACAAAATACAAAGTAAAAATTTTCCCATGATTTAATATTGCTGATGTAGAGAAGAGAAGGCAGATGGAAATTTGAAGGTCAACAAATAATAACATTATTATTTAAAGTAAATTATTTGATTAATGTAGATTTGAAACTGTTTTATTACCTCTTGTCTATGACCAGGAAGTCTTCGCTCACTATTTGAAGAAGATCTAACATCCCTCTGAAGAATCATACGGTCACGGCTTCCAGATGATAAAACATCACCACTCCAAGCCAAAGCACCTACACGTGCAGAATGACCATGCAGTTTTGAAATTTGCTTGTTCGCTGCAACATCCCAAACTTGAACATAACCATGATGTGTTCCAACAGCAACTAAATTTCCCTAAAATGACAAAAATAAAAACCTTTAATGCACAACTAACACTTTAAAAATATGTTATGATAAACAATATACAAATCAATTATGAGATGTTATATATATTAATTGAAATATATCTTTAATCTTACAAAATAATTTTAATGTGGCAACATTAAGCATCATTAGTTAGCAAAATGATTGGAGGCCACAGGGTTCTTATGGATCATAACACCAATAAAAGATTGAGAAAGAGAGAGAGTGAGAGCAAGGAGGGGAGGAAGAAGAGAGAGCAGGATGGGAGAGTGAGAGATTTCTGTCTGGTTAAACTTACTCACTATTTTGTCTATAAGTTAAGTCTAAAGGAATTCTGATAAAAGTATATTATACAGATTCAGTATCTCAATTGATTGATTATAATTAATACTAGAGTAGTTTTCTTTTACATTTTAATAATTAAGATCACTAGTTTTTTAATATAGTTGCTTTTGAAGTTGCTTCATTTGGTGCTTCTATTAATACTATCAAATAAAATAAGTAAGGACAGACAACTACTCCAATTAATAGATAACTTTATTTCAGTCATGACGTCACCGAATCCTCTCTAACTTTTTACACTTTCACACAGCAAGCAACTAAATCACCTGACCAGAAACATAAGAGTCAAGAGGCTTTTACGGAAAAGAGTTTAAGTTATAAGGACATAAATGAAGCAAACAGCCGAATAATATTGAACTTGCAGGAATTTCTACTAAACGCCCAAGCAAAACAAATAAGTTATTCAACAGTTGACACAGTTCTTGCAACAGCATGTAAACTGAAGAATAATAGTAATAACCTCAACATAGAAAATGCTAAACTAAAAGGTGAAATAAGAGCATTAAAAAATCAAGCCTCTAGCCTTACACCTGTTACTTTTGATACCCAAAGCCTAGAAACACTAAAATTGGTAATGAAGGATATAATTAACGAACAGGTAAAGCCTCTTACCTCTGAAAAGGTGGCGATGAGGCAATCTTATGCCTCTAAATTAGTGAGCAAGCGAGAGAAAACTCCTGTAGAACCTCCGAGCTCGGTGTTCATAGTGCAGACAGACCGGAGCAGGGAAAAATAGCCCACAAGCAAACAAACAGGGGATAAACAGAAGCTTCATGCCTGCTGCAGAAGGAATAAAAATTAGAGAGCTAGTAGAAACGACCAGAGGAGTAATAATTAGGACCCAGACAAAAGATAAAGGTAAGAAGCTTCAGCTATATCAGCCCAAGGGGAGGATAAAAAAAATTAGAAGAGGAGGAAAAAAAGTCAATCTCTACCTGCTCAAATGAGTTATGTTTAGCTGAAATAACTTTTCTTTTAAATAAACTGATGATTGCATGGTTTTTGGAGTTTTCAGCTCTTTCTCTAGTATCATCCCTTTCTTCTTTTAGCTTTTGCAGCTCTTCATTCCAGAAAGATTGATATTTTCTTATTGATCTGCAGGGAATAGCCTTCAAGGACACACTTATATGAATTTCCTTTTATATTAGTAAATGTTTTATCTACGTTTCCATTTATGATTAATTTATCAGGGATGAATTCATCTCAATTTCCTGAAAAGCTTCCAGTCCCCTTTTTTAAATTCCATCGTGGCAGTTGTGGTTCCTTGGTCTTCTTTGTTAGAGACCTGGGCATATTATCGCTTTGTATATTGTGCCAAGTTTGTGATAAATGTAATCGCTAACTTACCGTGTTTACAGGTTATCCAGGGGTCACATGGACAAGATGTCTAGACTTCACTAGTTTTTTTTATTCTATAAAAAAAAAAACTATCCAGTTTTTCAGTAGTTTACATGAAATTATGATTTCATTCATAATTTAATAAAGTTTTACAACATAAACTATACCTAAATAAACATAAATAAGTTTCAATAATTTTATAATATGAACTTGAAACAGTATTAACATCATTTAGGTGTCTACCAATTTTTGTAATTGAGATTTTCCATCAATTCTCACCTTTATGTAGTGCTTTTATTCAAATATTCTTTTTGCCACTTAGCTAGAGTTATCTTTTCTAGTGATAATATAAATAGTTCACAATAAATTAGGCAAAAACAGACAGATAATAACAATGATTAATAGATATATTTATTTGAACATTGTATATAAATAATACCACCCATTTAGTGCAGATAATGATTGGACTGTAGTACACTACAGTTATTAATTACAGTACAGCATAAATTTTCTTTAATAAGATAATAATAAGTTGTTAATACATACTCTTTCATTCCAAGAAACAGATGTAACAGAATTAGCGTCAGTTGAAAGGTCACATAATCTTGTTACTTGACTAGTACATGCTGACCATAAATACACACAGCTTCCTAAACCAACACTTAGAACATTTTGAGAAGACCAGTCGACCAAATTCAAGTAGAAGTCATCTTGCAGTTCTGGGGCATCTAAAACCTGTAATTTACATGAAATCATAATTTAAAGTTTTATAACATAAGCTATACCTAAATAAACATAACTAAATTTCAATAACTTTATAATATGAACTTGAAACAGTATAAATATCATTTAGGTGTCTACCAATTTTGGTAATTGAGATTTGCCATCAGTTCTCAACTTTATCGTAATATTTTCGACTAGCAACATTTTTACAAGCAGTAATAATAAGCTGAAGTAAAAACTAAAATCTTAATTACAAAAACGTAATGAAGTTTAAATTTTTGTTTCATTTCATCAACTAAGGTTTTGTAAAACATTTATTATTTTTTAAAATAACTATGGATTAAATAAAACATCTGAATGGAAATGTATTAAGTGAAACAAATGTTAAGATGGAATAGAAATGGATGATTCTTACCTTGAAAGGAATTCTAGATATCTTCCTAGTAGCTTTTCGAGGTGAGCGCAGTAACTTTTGGCTGTTGGAACTAACAGGTGATAAAGAATAAGGTGCTATGGATTCGATATTCATTTCAGTTTCTTTTTGAGATGAATACTACAACATTATTAAATAAATAAAATTATTAAAAAGAAAGATTTACAAACTTAAAATGGATAATGCAATAAAAAAATATCTACATGTGTCTTTTTGTAAAAGTTTACAGCAATCCAAAAAAGTTAAAGTATGTTATTATTACCTTAATTAATTCATTAATTATAAACTAACTTTCAGTCCTTATTATAAGAAAAGGACCCATTACTACAGAATGTCAGAAATAAACAAAAACAAAACACAATTGAAAAAATAAACTGTTTTTTATAATTTTGAAAATATAGTAATGGGGAATTCAGAAATAGATATTTTTTAATAGATATATCATTAAGAGTAAGAAGTTAAGCTAGCAATATCTAAGAAATCTAATGTATGAAAAGCTATAATATTTTTTGTTTCAGGAGTAAAATAATAATGACACTAGTAAATTTATAAATTTATAGCAGCGAACGTAAAATAATTTACCTGGAAGAGAGAAATCATATCAGTGACAGGATTTATTCTTTTTTCTTCACACTGGTTTCTTACTCCCTCAATGTTAGAGTCCAGCAATTCATTGCGTAACAAACTTGAATAAGCAATGTAAACCTCCCTATTTGCTTCATGTGCAATAGAGTTAACACAACTATCTCGACATCGACGAGTTTTGCTGCAGCCTGATTTTGAATCCTTAAAATTACAGTTAAGCTATAAAATTGGATATTAATAAAAGAACAGTCAATATAGTAGAGACCTTGATCAAAAATTTGATGATGTTTGATAATATCAAACACACTAGTTAATAAGTAGGAGAAGTAGGTATTCTAATATAAACATTAGATTTCATCTAGGAAACTACTAATCAGCCATTTTCTTTATAAGTTTTGTAACTCAATTCTAAAATTTCAATTTATATTTAATCACATATATATTAAATCATTTAAAGATGATATGCAAAAACCATTAAAAAATGAAATTATTTACATTTTTCTAGTGACTGATGTTATTGAAGTTTTCGTCTTTTATTAAAGATTCACCAGTATTTATCTTATTTTTAGAACAGCAAAATTGCTTCCGGATTGGAAGTAGCCAATTTGTAATACATTATGGTTACAAAAAACTAATTTAACAATTAATAAGTTCAGTTAGCTCTTACTTTTTTTTAAAGTAAATAACTATATTTACAGGACATTTTTAATTGGTAATTGATTGACTGTCGTGGATAATGAAGAGAAGAATAGTTGGGGTGTTCAGTCAAAAAGGAAGGCAAAAATAAATTATATTTATTTTTACATATGCCGACGTTTCGACCTGAAGTTCAGGCCTTCATCAGGGCTTTCTTCTTAAGTGTCGAAGGGAGAATCTCCCTTCATTCTCATTCTCATTCTCCCTTCGACACTTAAGGAGAAAGCCCTGATGAAGGCCTGAACTTCAGGTCGAAACGTCGGCATATGTAAAAATAAATATTATAATTTATTTTTGCCTTCCTTTTTGACTGAACACCCCAACTATTCTTCTCTTCATTACAGAACATTTTGTGTCTAATAGGTATTTTTTTTAAAAAGATTTTTTTAAGCAAATCTGTCTAGGACAGCTGTTATAGTCAATTGAGTTAAGATGTTAGCTCACCATACTGTGGCATTTGTGAGTCTATACGTTGAGATTTAAAGCCCTGAAGCCAGGGCCCAAAAATCGACCTCATCGCAAACGAAAGTTTGAATGTAAATTATGAAAGTGAATGTTGTTACAAGTAAAATGAACCTGGTCTGCCATTCCAGAGCTACTGCTTTCAAAAATGGCAGCTGATTTAAAGAATATTAAGCCAGTAACTTGAAGCTTAAACAGGAGATATATAACGAAAAATATAAGATAAGTTTTTATTTTTTAACTTGTACATATGGATTCAAACATGTTAAAAACAAAATTGCTGACAACGGGAAACTTTTTACAACCAAAAAAGCCTGATTTTTTCAATTGTTTTTTCACCTATAACTTCTAAACGGTGCATAAAAGCAGAGACAGTACTCTTTAAGAAATTAAAGAATGTTGAATAGTGTGTTGAACAAGTACCTAAACTTAATAATTTGATTAAGTGGTATGATCGATAACCAATATCAACTAACGCTGATTTTTTCCCAAATTTGTCAAAAACTGAGACAAATTACTATTAATTCCCCTGCAGCTTGGAAATGAGTTCTTTTGATAAAATCAATGTTGTAGAGCATTAAATTGTGCGTCAAACTGAGTACTAACATTTTTTAAGTAGGTCAATTCTATAGCATATTGATAGGGGAATTCAAGTGAATAATAATTTCTTTATGGTACTGACAATTCGGTCCTGCTTGCAACAGATAAGCCTTCATTGCAAGAAATGATAAATTTTCTTCATAATTAATGCTTAGAGTATCATTTAAGAATATATATATATTTTTTAAGCTTTTAAGTCATAACATTTCTTTCTAAAGAATGAAAGGATTGAAACTAGTGCTGGATTGAAAAAAATGCTGGAAGGGATAGTTTTGTTGATCGATGTGAAGCTTAAAGTGTGAAGGATCTGGGTTCAGTAGAGAAAAGGCGTCCTAGTTCTACAGGAAAGGAGAATCAACCACCGTCGATCGTCATTCGTTTCATCTGCCAGACGATCTGGGAGGAGGTGTTACTCCTTAGAAGGATAAAAACGGATTTTTCCATCCGGCACCTCAGTTGAGAATGCGACGAAAGAATTTATATAGTAGAGGAAATAACCCCATGTAATCACCATTTTTATTGGCTGGTAAGACAAAAGGATTTTATTCCAAATCACAAAAAAGACAGTCAAACAGAATGTATTAATTACAGACCAATTAGTTTCTTGACAAAACGTACACCTACATTTTGGAAAAAAGGTTACGACAAATTGTGGAGGAACAGATGGAAGAGGAACAGGCAGGTTTCCGCTCTGGGAGGCAGATTCGGAATCATATCTTTTTCCTACGAACTAGATTACCTGGTTTGACCTATGGAGGTATATAGGTAAGGAGTTCCAAAAGGTAGGTAGCATGAATGACAAAGGATGTGCTGAAAGAAGTTATTTTATGGGAGGGGATGTATAGATCTAAAGGTTGAGATCTGGTATTAAGAGAGTGAATAGAGGAATGTAGAGCAAAGAGTTCTAGAATGTAGGGAGGGTTTTTGGTTTTGAGGACTTGGAAAAGGAAAACACCAAGAAGGAATTGCTGTGGGAGGTAGGACAAAGCCACTTCAATCGAATGCATAGGGAGGAAACATGGGTGGATAAACCTGGAAATTCCTAAAATGAATCTAATGAAGCAATTCAAGAGTCTCTTCAGTATTGTCTCCAGTTTTGTAGATAGCCCTCCAAACACCAAGCAACTGTAGATAAAGTGGGGGAAAACAAGGGATGCCAAAAGGAGCTGTCTGGTTGTTTTAGGGATAGAAATCACAGAATCATAGGAATTGTGAAAGAAGGGTTATGGATTTTTAGGTAATCTGGGAAATGTGACTATTCCAAGAAAGGTTCTGATCTAAGATTACTACGAGGTTATTGACTATCGGAAAGAAATGGATGGAGCAGTAGTTGAGGTAAAGCATAAGAGAGAAAGGAAGGGAATTAATGAGGTTCCTTGAACCAATGAGGATAGCCTTAGTTTTATCAGCGTTCAGCTTCATTTAATTTTTTTTTCTGCCTACCTGTGGATACAGTCAATATTTTCTTGCAGCTTTCGAGTAGCCTCAGGCATCTCAGAAGGTTGGAACGATAGGCAAATTTGTAAATCGTCAGCATATAAGTGATAGCACAAGTGATGAATGGAGTCAGGAAGATAGCTAATATAGATGGAGAAAAGGGATGGAGATAGTGAGGAGCCCTGAGGAACACCTCGAGATAATTAAAGGGATGAGGAAAGCGATTTGTTAGAAATAACAACTGTCTTGGAGTGATGGGATAAAAAGGAGAGGAACCACTTTACAACGCTATTTGATATGAGCAGGCTTCAGTTAGAGAGTGAGGGATTCAAACATTAAGCTTGGAAACAGCTGAGCTTGCGCAAAAGGTTTTCTACACTTGAGTGCGACATTTAGGGCCTTAGCAATATCTCGCACTGTTTGGGTGTGATTTTGATCAACAATGGCCTTAACATTGCTAGTTTCAATTTCATGTGAGCAACCAGACCGTTGAGTATTATTGATGTAAAAATTTCCTCAATGAAATTTGGCAAACCAATTTTGACAGGTGCGTACGGTTAAGGCATTAAACACTGCAAATTTTTCATTGAGCTTCTGCAGCACGCTTACCTTTTTTAAAATAATACAACAAAATATGCCGATAACGAATGATATTTTCTTCCATATTCACAGTGCAAAAGTAAACACAATACTAAGCAAGTTTCAACAAGAGTTGACAGATATAGTTGTAGACATATTACAAACAGGATAAACAATCCACCTTAGGGATTAATTCATCAGATAAGAAATGTATCATATTGAAATAAAAATAAACAGAAAAACCGAAAGGACTTATTTGCCAACCCAACATGATTTTTATGATCCTGTGTCAACCAAGCATCTGATCACAGTTTCTCCCGCTCCATGTTCCAATTTTGTGAGAAAGGTTCCTAGTAGTATCAGCACTCTTCAATGATCCGTGGAAACTGAAATCTTCAACATTACCTTCTTATCGCCTTCTGATTCTTCATTTGACGACTGGGATGGAAGTAAATTTGGACATATAATCCTAGTGTGCTTTCATACCACAAATTAAACACCGTATTGGTTTTCTACAATATCTTGCACTATGACCTTCTTTCAAGCAAATAAGATGTTTTTTTAGTGAAATGGACAGCCCTTATGCTAGGAGAGCAAAATTATATTGGACTTCAAAAGTACGCATGGCTGATCTCAAGCAGGCATTACTTAGGTATAGGAAAAAAAAAAAGGCTTCCACTGTCTAAAACTTTTTCATGTTTTTTTATCAGATGTAATGATTATTTATGTTTGTATTTATATATACAACTATCCAACTCCATTTGAAATATTTTTAAAAATGACCATTTTAGAGACTTCGTAAGAAAGGAAAAATTCTAAACAATCCTGGCAGAAATCGAGAATATCGGAACCCAGGGAACTTAACCGCAGCTAACTTGTTAGGCAAACATGACTCTACCAATGGACACAAAAAAATCAGTGAATTTTTCTTTCATACAACCTAAACTCTATAATGCACTTAGTGGCTTTCTAACTTGTCATATAAAGTAGAAAAGTCCTGATACACCTCACCTTTAACTACATTTTCCATAACCATAGCTATTAACTCACGTACATACACCATTTATATGTGATTTATTACTTCCATTTCAGGGTTTATTTATATGTTTTTGGAGCAGTAGTTTTTTTAAATGATGTCCATTCTGAGATTACACCACTGTGTTTTGACTTATTGGAGTTTTTCGGAATTCTTTCATATGAGGGTCTATTTATATGTTTTCGGAGCCGTGGTTATTGAAAATAATGTCTGTTTTGAGATTACGCCACTGTATTTTGACTTATTTGAGGGTTTCGTTTTTGACTTATTTTTTTCATATGAGGGTCTATCTATTATTAACTTAAAAATAGACCCATGTATGGAAGAAATCCGAAAAACTCGAATAAGTCAGAACGCAGTGGCGTAATTTCAAAATGGACACCATTTTCAAAAACTACAGCTCCGAAAACTCATTAATTAATTAAACCTATTAATAATTAATTACACTATTAATTAAACTTATTCATTATTATTAACTTAAAAACAGACCCTTATATGGAAGAAATCTGAAAAGCTGAAATAAGTCAAAACACAGCGGCATAATCTTAAAATGAAGATTACTTTTAAAAAATCAAATCCTTAAAAACATATTAAAAACTGTATATGAAAAATTTTAACAGTTGTAGTTTTACGTATAACAGGATCATAATGTCATATTGTTTAAAAAAGAAACCAGAAATTTGTTCTTAGTAATGAGTTTAACAATTTAAAGTCTATATTTATGTTATTAGAACAATGGCATATCTATTAATATAATTAACTATGGGCATATGATACTTGAAACTATAATTTATAATAGGCTGTGAATAAAGTACTCAAAGTGGGGTAGGTCAGCTATTTGAGTAAATTAATCAAAGTTGGGCAGTTTAAAATTTGAGTAAAATAATCAGAACAGAGGATGTCAATAATTGAGTAAAATACTCGGGACTCAGTAGTCACTTTGTCATTTGTCCATATCTGAAGTCAAGTGGATTGAACATTGTAGTGTACATTTCTAGTGTACATCTACAGTTTAGATGATATAGTTTCATGAAAAAAGTGCACATCATTGTGATATATCTTAGAGAAAAAGCTTCTTAAGCTAGCAGACCTTCTCTTGTCCCCATTCATCCATCCTTTGAGTTCATGATACCCCGTGAAATAAGAGAAAAATAAAAATATTTTGTTTATTATCATTTTATGGAACCATTTTAAAAACTACTCAAGACTATTCCTAATTTTAACTCATACAATTCTAAAAAACAAATATATCAAATAATAGGATCACAAAAGGGAATTAAATTTCAGGAATTTAATGGATAGGTTTTTCATGTAATATTTTGAAGGAATAGGAAATTTCTAACAATAAATTTATGATGGTCTGAGGTAGGGAGATATACTTCATATTATTTACATGTTTTCTCAAGACAGTAATGGATCAAAAATAAACTATGACCAAAAATATTGAGAGAGTGAATACTTAAATAAAATAACCATTTGGGATTTACAAGGATTCACTTCAACTTAGAACAGACAAAATGGTACCCTAATAATGCCAATGGTACAAAATGCTCCTATGAATTTTAATTTGAAGTATCACTTCTGTCAAATAATCATCTGGTATCGAATTATGTCATCTTTGTTTTCATTCTCAACTCTTAGTTTTAACACATTTGCCTTCAATGTCATATTTATTTGCATCTGTCAACTTGTGTTACTTTGCGTCTGCTAATGTGCTAAAATCCAAAAAATAATGACATGCCAGGCATGGGGAAGGACAGTACTCAGTAGTACATCTTCCCTGACTTGTTTCAATTACTTAGTTTATTTAAGAAAGGAGATCTCTCATCCAACAACTTTTTAGTCTCCTCCTCATATTCAGGAGGTTTAAATTTGTATAAAATTGTTGGTAATAGATTGTTATATGTTGGTCAACTGTTGGAAGGTGGAGGTCAGTATGTAAAGTTTTGTTAGGCGCATACTAAGATACTATGAAATATTTGATTTAATTTAATTAATCGATTTCGGAAATTAAATTTTATAAATGTATTTATGAGATTATCGGGTATTTTAGTTTAATCATTTTTAAAGAAAATGGTATAGCATGAAATATTTTATTCACAGTATGATATTTATTTCATTTTATTTATTTGTTTGTTAAATCATAGTTTATTAAGGTAAATTGATTACATTGATGAATAATGATTTATTATTTTGCATAGACAAGTTGGTTAGTGAAAATTAACTATTGAGTAAACATAATTAAATAGAAATCAATCTGAAACAAAACAAAAACAAATACAAGTAAAGCAATAAATCTTACTGGCAGCATTGAGAATCTGGTTTGCCAAGCATTCCCTCTCCTTGATGGTATATAACGATCTGATAAAGAAGGCGAATTCAACTGCTTAAAGAAATTTGAAGATTCCTGAAATCAGATAAAAATCTAGGAAAAGTTTTGACAAACACACCATTTATAAAAACAAAAAAGAGCAATATATAAATAAATCTACACCCAATCCAAGGAGTGAAAAGACTTTAGTACATGATTTTCTTGGAGGATTGTTTTTCAAGCCATTTACTAAAGCATTCATAACTTCTCAAGATTTTCTCCTAATTTAATGTCAGTACAAACATTGGAAAACTGAATTAATGCTCTCCAAACCACATCATTAAGTTTTGGATTTCATTCCATTTTAAGCTATAAATTTAGAAAATCTTCCCAAACATTTTTATTTTATATCTTTGGTTAATAATTGTTAACAGAGGTCGAGTTGCAAAAAACGAAAAATGACTTTGTACCTCAATCCAAAACTTATTAATGTGATTTGAAGAACATTAATTCAGCTTTCCAATAGTTGTGCTGACGTTAAATTTGGATATGATATGATATGATATGAATGTTTTAGTTAACGAACTCAAAAAGAATTATCCAAGAAAATCATATAATAAAATTTTAAATTTTCGATTTCCATAAAAATTTGTATTGGAGAGTTTTAAAGAACACTAAAAACAAATCTAACTTTCCTTTTTATAACAAAAATTTACTTGGCCTACTTTACTGGAAGCGCCTTTTGATTTTTTGTAATTAAGGTACTTTATAAACCATTTAATTTTTTTCTTCTTATTTTGCAAAAAAAAAAAAAAAAAAAAAAAAAAAAGAAATCGATTCATATATAATAACCTAAAAATCCATGCTAAGCGAAGGCAAAAATTAATAAATAACATACATTTTGTTTAAAACCATATAAAAAAATTGTTTCTTATCTTTTAGATCCTACTGTCAAGAACTCGACATGGGTCTAATATTTTTCTACCAAATATCAACAAAAAAAGTTAAATTGAACTTCCATCCTTATAACCTCAACAAAGTCCATTACCTCTCCTTATAAGATTAACATTAAATAACTAATCTTCTTTAAGATAGATTTTTGTCTTTTTTAAAACATATTTCTGAGACTTTTATGATTTAAATATTTCATTCGAATCCACAGATAAAGTATGTTCACCTGTCTTATGGGTTACGTGCATATGCATATCTGGAAGATTTGTTATTGAGAGAGCTAAAAGGACTAAGTTATAGTCCAGCAAAATTAGAGATTGACCCCAAAATTTAAAAAATAAAGATGAAACTTGTCAAAAATTGTTCATTAGCCTCCCCACAATAACTGGTAAAAAGTCCCAAAGAATCCCGTATCGGTTTTTGTTGAGGGGAGGGTAAGAAGGAGAGAAAATTGGTATTTTTTGAGTTTTTGAGAATATCTTAAAAACTATGAGGTTTTTCGCAAAGATTGTTCAGTACAATATTAAAGTACTTTAAAATCTCTATAAAATGACCCTATACACTTTTTTGATAAAATCAATGGTTATGGAGATATTTATAAGATTATATTTATTGCATTTTCACTTTAAGCAAAAATTGCTCCAAAGCCCGAAATTGATTGAACTGGTTTATGGTAACTTTTTATAAGATTTAATGTCTTCTATCACATATTATCAATTATATGAAATTAATTAATATCAAAACTTCATATCATTATCACTAAATTTCCCATTGATTGACATCAAATATAATTCTGTTGTCAATGACTTATAAGAACCATTAAAAGAAAGAAAGTTTTAATAATAATTTGAACGATCGAAAATGTTAAAAAAAAAAAAAAATTAAAATTCTTATTTTCTACTATGAACATCAATTTCATGCTTTGGAGCAATATGTGCTTAAAGTAGAAATGCAATAAATATAATCTCATAAATATCTGCGTAACCATTGATTTTATCAAAAACATATATATAGGGTCATTATTATAGAGATGTTAAAGTACTTAATATTGTACTGAACAATCTTTGCGAAAAACCTCATAGTTTTTTAGATATTCTCAAAAAACTAAACAAAATGCCAGTTTTCTGTTCTTCCTCCTCTCCTCCTGTCAAAACCCGATGCGAGATTCTTTGGGACTTATTACCAATTATTATTGGGAGGAAAATGGACAATTTCTGAGAAGTTTCATCCTTATTTTTTGAATTTTGGAGTAAGGCTGTTTTTTCCCCCTAACTTTACTGGACTATTAAGGATACTGGATCAAAATTATTTTTTTATATCAAGGAATATGAAGAAACCAAGACAAAGAAGAAGAGTTAAAGGAAAAGGAGTATAGAAAAATAGTTAAGGGACTAGAACCTACTTCATAATTCTTACAGATTAAAATTATATTTAAAACTTACATTATGCACTGAAGAAGCATATAAAGAAGAATGATCTGCTAACTGACTAGTTTCTTCGTTGGAGTTATAATTTTCATATCCATTGTTACTATTTCCATCCACAACTTTAAGCGATGAATCTGAACAACTACTTTTAGTTATTGGTACTTTATTAATATTATAAATATTTTCTCCTTCATTTTCATCATTTGCTTTATCATTTAATGATAACGAATTATTAGCACTGTAATTCTGTAATATCATTCCCTTATTTTGTTGATAGAACAACCTTTTAGCATATACATTATTCATTTCGCAATCATCAACATCTATAAAAAAAAAAAAATTATAATAATTTTAAAGAAATATTATAAATAAGAATATATATTATAAATATATCCATGTTGGATGTATAGATTGTTGACCACATGATAACTCAAAAATAAGATGGTCCGGGCAACAGTCAGAAAAAATATCAAATTATTTATTTAATGCCCATATTTTGACCAACATTGTAAGCCCTTAATAGGCTAAAAATCATTTCTTTCCTACCGGCATCTGTAGGTACTTCCTTGCTACATTTCTATACCAAGACATCAACCTACAATTTAAATACTCCTTTCCATCCTGTCCCACTAGATCCCGAACTTCCGACCGATATCTTCCTCAGCGAACTGCTGCGTTTGACAACTCCTTCATAATTCAAGCCGTCTCCTTCTGGAATACCATCCCTCCCGATACCCAACATTTAAATCTCTCCTTTTTTAAGCACCTACTACTTTCCCAACTCGATTGATCATGAAATGTATATAAGAGAACTTTCTAAGTTCTCCCAGAAATTACATTGTTTACTTATGTTATTTTACTTTCCCACGTTTAGGTTTATTTTATATATATATATATATATATATATATATATATATATATATATATATATATATATATCTGTTTTTTTTTCTTCCTATATTTTTATTTTAATGTTTATTTTATATATATATATATATATATATCTGTATGTTTTTTTTTCTTCCTATATTTTTATTTTAATAAGTTATTATTTTGTAAAAATTTAATTTAATGTATGGCCACACAGGCATTTTTCCTGTATCTATAATTTGTTCTAAAGGGACAACAGTCCTTTCAAGAAAATATCTTGAAAAAATATTTTCATTTTATTTCATTATATCAACATCGGAAAGAGCCAGCCAATGAAACAATGGACATACCTCGTCTCACCTGTAGTACAAGAAGCTATCAACCAAGAAATTGATCGCATGCTTCAGGAAGACATAACACTTTCTCATAATTGTTGGTCAAGCCATGTGATAACGGTGAAAAAGCCAATGGAAAAATATTGTTTTTGCGAAGATTAGTGCCATTGTTTTTGTTAGGCTTAGATGTGGCATGCCAATTACAATTGTACATAGTTAATAGAATAAGTGTTGTTTTTGTTATTATTATTATTATTATCTTTAATGGTTTACATATCTTTATGTTGTACATCTTAAGGGACCTTGTCCCAGAATAAAGTTTGTTTTCTATTCTATTCTACATAGTCATTATGTTAAAATTTTCTCTTTTTCCCTTTGCTTGTACATATTATTAATTCTGCATACTTTTTTTTTCTGTAAATAGACCACTAACTTGAAACAACCTTTTTTTTTTTTGCTGCTTTATAAAATTCAACCTAACCCTTTCACTTAAGCTAACATGATAACCTGCATGAATTTTGTAATGGCCAAAGATTAATTAATGGGTAAGTATTTATTTATAATTGTCATATTTGTCTGTTCGGAGATTAAAGGCAAAAATAGCCAGACACCCAACAAGTTCACCAAAGAAAATGAGTTGATGGTAGAATTGCATAATACATCAAGAGAAAGTAAAGGAAGAGAGAGAAAAAAATTTAAAACACGCTGCGTGACCTGGATTTTGTATCAGCGTCGCAAAAGGACCTCTCCCGTTAAGACTCCAAGCCCAACTGACTAGTCTGGGCCAGGTACTTATGGCCGCAAGATAAGAGAACAGGCCTCTATACACCGGCTTTTCTTCACACAACTGTACTCACTGTGGCATTAGTGCATGTTATAGTCCAGGGGTTTTAGCTCACGTATAGTCACAATTTAATTAAAAAATAACATTAATTTCCCAGGAAAAAGTCCTAAGAGACGAGATAACTGTGGTATATTATAATCTAGCGCATGCGCAGAACTGATCCGAAATAAATTCCATCCAAAAACTCAAAGGTAAATATGATTCACCTATGAAACAAGAACGAACTTTACCTATCTACCAGCACATCCAGTAACAATCACGTTGCTGCCAATAATAAACCTACCAAGATTAAAGAACCACGCATCGTGTGGTAGATGTCTCCTTTTCATTGGAATATGGATTGTACTGCACGGGCGTCATTCATGATGTAGAACAGGGGTCTCCAAACTACGGCCCACAAAAGTTTCTTTAATTACATGACAAGATTTTAATAACTATTAAATTAATCACTCACACATGACATTACTAAAACATTAATTGTATGAGTTTTTCTCTTGGAAAGCTCATATCCCAACAAACTTTTTGTATTCATCACAATCCATGCCCGCAGGACTTATTGGATGTCTTAATGCGGTCCACGGGACTTAGTGGAGGTCTCAATGTGGCCTGCGGGCCAAAAAGTTTGGAGCCCCTGATGTAGAACAAGCATTTGATCAAGTCTACAACTGGGACTGCTATACAAAATCTGTCAATTCCTCTCCCCTACATATTTATAATTATCCCTTCCTACCTCTCAGACAGATCATTCAAAGTAAACCATAATTGTGCCTATGATAGTATGAGCCAGTGCTCAAACAACCTTTCAACTCTCTTGTATACATCGGCATGTGGCGATATGAACATTTCATGTTACCACTAGCACAGTGTCGAACTACAGAGACACAACTATAAAAACATTGCACAAAGTAAATGGCAGAATTCTATGTGATTATCAAAAATTCCTTGTGCTTGAGTCTTCACATCTTTCATTTCGTAACAACCTTAAAAAATTAATCATAACCACTTTACATTTTGCAATTATCCTCTGAAAATAGTTATTTAAAATCATCTTAATGTTGTGACTCCTAAGGGTAAACTGAAACCAAGGAATCAGTCTATCCGATAACAAGTAATCAGTCTAGCTCACACTTAAATTCAGTCAGATAGATGAATGAGTTTACCAGAATTGATTAGGAGTGAGAACACTTGAGATCACAATACCAGAAACTAATTAAGATTACAATAAACTAAAAGATAACTGCATAAATAAGAAAACTACAAATAATAATTACCTTGAGATAGTTGTGGTTGGCTTTTAAAATTAAAAGTATATGAGATGCCGACTGACATACTTTTGTTTAGTTATTTAATGCTAGGGTACCTGAAAAAAAGTATAAGTTTCAACATTTTTTAGAAATTCACCAATAATTATACTTAAATCTTTCAATTGAGCCATTTATTTTTAAGTTAGCTGTCATATAAAACATTATGCAGTTGGTTAAACATACTCATTTGCATTTGAAGTGGATCATTGCATTAACTGTTTATAAAATTTTGAGGAATTAATTTTTTTTCTATTAGACACCTGTTGATAATTTACATTCACAATATGCTAATTCTTTTGAAATAAACGCTCTCAAACATAAACAGAAGAAGGGATTATCCTCAGTTCAGTTCTTTAACAGCTTGTGTTCACTTCAATTTATTACTCGTAATCCTATTTTTATTCACTTACCGTTTTTAGTATTTTTTATTAACCATTTTTATAAGTTCTTCTTGGTATTAAAGAATGTCTGTACATCTTAAAGCAGTAGAGCTTGATCATGGCCTGGCCCACTGGAGAAGCCTAACCTGTCACTTATAAGGAGTGATATTTGTTCACTTGTACCCTAATTTCCTCACAAAGGTCGGATTTAATTCATTAAGGCTATTTGCCAAATATAATTGTTTTCAATACCCATAGTGTATCTAGAGGAAGATAAGATGCAAAAAGATGGATAAATTATATGATTTCATATTTCTACAACTGATGTTAGATATTCCAATCAAGTATGTTTCCTTGATGATCAGGAAAGAAGGAAACTGCAATTGCAAATGCTCATAGTGCTATTCGTTTCAGCTGATGACAACTATCAAAAGAGTTGCATATAATCTTACTCCCAATGATTGCGGTAACAAACCAAGCCTATGAAAATCTAATGAAGTTGTTAAGATAAAACCTAGGCTTTCAATAAATAATTTTTATTACTTGAGTTTCCTTTCATGATCATCAACAAGACAATTTCTTATCTTATAATCAATACAGTCTACTAATAAATATCCAACACTTTAAATTATATAAAACAGACTTGGGCTAATTTAATAAATTTTAAAACCAATCTAGTTGTTAATTTGGAAAGTGGTTAAGTTATTATGTTATCTAATGTAACAGTTTTTTGGGTCAGATTTAACTTTTTTTTTTTCTGTAACATTCAGTTGCTTTTAAGGGAATTTATCCCCGAATAAAGTTATTTTTCTATTTTTATTCTTCGTAAGAATATACATACCATTCACTTAACTATATGTATTATTAAACAGGAAATGTAAACTTAACTCTCTTAGATACAATTAACACGTATTAACTAACTCTAAACCCATACCTAGAAATCGATCAGCACCCTATCCCACGAGTAGAGACTTTATTCCATGAAGTTCAAGGATGTAAGGTTTTTGCAAGGTTGTAGATGAAGCAAGTAGTCTGTGGGCCAGACACCCTACCGTGTACTCCCCTCCCCACCACATTCCTATAAATTGCATATCATTATGTTCCTTGTAACTATTTATTAAAAAAAAAGACTGTTCCCACGAAAAAAAGTGAACGCAGTGCCCCAAAATGGCTTCCAAAGATGACAGACTAACGACTTTGACTTGAATTAGTTTTTTGGTCACTGAGAATCAGCACCAATTGGCCTTTTATTAAAGCTGAATAGACAGAGAATAATAAAACATGAAGCAATATTAAAAAATCTGGTGTGCGCAACACACAACTTTCACTTGCCGCACTTCTACTTTGAATAGAAATTATTTTTTGGCAATGTTGGGCTACTATAAAATTTTTTAAGTGCACTTTCAACAAAGCTACAGTTTAAAGCTTATAGCAAACAAATTATTAATCATAACAAAAATAATATTAATTATATCAATAATTAAATACAATTTTTAGTAGGCAATAAAATACAATTTTTCATTCTAAAGTTTACTAAAATAAAATTGCAAGATTTTCATTGTCCGTCCAAATTTGTCACACTAATTATAAGTGGATAATGATGGTACTTTACAAAGGGAAAATTCATCTAATTAGTTACTAATTTAATTTTTTAAAAGATTATATGACTGTTTTTCAGAATAATCAGACGTTGTACCTAATTATTTAAATATGATACCAGATCTAAAATTATTTAACTTCAGTAAATATATTTAAGGTTATAAATATATATCCATGAAATATTTTATACAATATATTAAATATATTAATACAGACATTCTTTAAAATTTTTATATTTCACTTCTTCTTTCACACAAGTACAACGAAATAGTTTTTTAATCAATGTCATTGGCTTGATTAGGTGGATTATATATTTTTTCAAAAATTTTAAAAGTTTACATTCAGTAAGAAAATTTCACTTCAATTTCCCTAAAAACATGTGATTTACATTAAATAATGTTAGTGTTCTGAAATTATTATTTATATTTATTTGTCACTCTCCATTACTTTCGACTACTTTATTTATTTGATATTATTTTTTCTAAAATTCTCCGCTTTCCAACAATATATTATATTTATACCTTCTGAATGTTATTTCTGGAGATTCATTTTCAACCTGGAGAAGCATTTTTCTCCTTTTTTTTCCCCCCAGTTTCCAATTATCATATTCTTTCAAACTTCATATTTGGCCATTTTTTATAGTTACTGTCAATAAAAGATAGCTACTTTTTTAAATAAACCATATTAAAAGTACTTTAGAGAAAGATGTAAATGAACATTGAGCATTTAAGCCCTGCAAAGTGACATTAATGGGGATAAGACCTAAATGATATTAAATACCACTTAATTATACAATGATACACCGAGCTTAATCAAAATCGTTAGAGCAATTTTTGAGAAAATTGTAAAAGTTGGTTTCACCATTGATATAAAGTGGCACTTCCGTTTAGCCGATTTTAACAAAAAAGTTGCTGTCACATCAGAACAACATGTAAACCTTAAATACGTAATATCAGCTTCGTACTACTTTTTGTTTTTGAGCTAGACTGTTAAAACACGCACGCACGCGCGCACACAGACCATGACCATTTTGTGAGACTTGGTTATTTGGACTCAAGGGACCTCAAAACAAGTATTTCTGTTGAAAACCAAGATTAGAACATTTTCACGATCTCAATACTTTCCTTCACTATATATTTCATATAAAGGTAAGTAAAAGTAAAAATAATTGACTTAGGCAATAAAAAACACCAGTAAAGTCAATATTTAAAAAGAAAATTTCATGTTGAAAATACAAGCTTCGTTTGTAATTAAACAGCCAACAATAATGAAAATGTCTTGAAATAAAATATCTGGAAAATATATTTCTCTTTCTAAAACACTGATAACTTTTTTAAATATTTGAAGTGATTTTACAGGAAATGCACTTAAAGGGCGGAAAAGTGATACTGGCATAGGTGCCCAAAGACCTGCCACATCATTCAATAATCATAAATGGCATAGTTACGGTGCTATAATAACATATTTTAAATATTAAACAATTTTTTTATTTTTTAATATTACTTTCTTTATTCTATACTGAGGTCTTTTAAGAATGCTTCTATTGTAAAAATGATATAATCATAATAATAAAACTTAATTCAAAAATAATTTCCTGAATACCTTAATTTTTTATTTAACACTTTGTTTTTTATATTAACTGATTATTAGAGGTAAATTAAATTGTGTATACTTTCCTGGAAATGTATATATATATATATATATATAATGAATAGTAACTGGATTGTTTCAAGGCGTAACAATAGGCCTACATGGCCGTAGTGCACTTATGAAGAAAAAAAAAAAAAAACCTGGGTTGTTTAATAAAACTCATATATCACTAATAACAAAATTAATTCATTTTTTTATACAGCTTCTTTCTTTCCATCTTCCTTTGTGCATAGAGAATAAAGCATCCAATATTGAAATTTCCTATTTTTTTTTATAATATGGCCCAATCTCCGAACATAATAAAGGAAATAAAAAAATGAAATTAATTTTGTTATTAGTGATATATGAGTTTTATTGAACAATCCGGTAACTATTCATTATATATAATTCAGATTAATTATATTTTAGTTAATAAAACAGGTATTAATATGACTCATTTCCAGGAAAGTATATACAATTTAATTTACTTCCAAGAATCAATAAATATAGAAAACAAAATGTTAAATAAAAAACTCAAGATATTCAGCATCCTTAAACGACCTCCGTATAGTATAATGAAAGTAATATTTTAAAAAAATTAAATAAAAGATAATTAAATTTTTTTGGACATTTAAATTATAGCATTAATATTTGTTCATTAACACAATCAATATAATGTAAAGAAAAAAAAACGTTATTATAGCTCTATAACTATGCCATTTATGAAAACTCAATAATGTGGCAGAGACCTGTAGGCAGTAGCTTTATTTCAAGACGTTTTCCATTATTGAAGGCTGTTTAATTATAAACGGTGCTTGATTTTCAACTTGACATTTCTTTTATTTTTTTTAAATATGTTCTTTATTGCCTAAGCCAATTACTTTTTAATATTGTTATATGTTTTATTATTCTGACTATTCAGCTTTAATAAAAGGTCAATTATGACGAAATTAAACCAAATGCTAATTCTCAGTGACCAAAAAACTAACAAGTCAAAATCATCAGTCCGCCATCTTTGGGGCAGTGCGTTTACTATTTTCATGGCAACATTTGCTTTTTTTTAATAAATAGTTACAAGGAACACAACGGAATGCAATTTAGAGGGATGTGGGAGGAAGGGGGGGGGGGAGTGGCTCAGGGTAGGTCTGGCCCACCGTGTAAAGCAGGTCACTGAAGACGGAACTCTACTTCAAATTAAGATTGAATTTAATTTCATATAATTGATAACATGAGATAGAAGACATTAAAGCTTGTAAAAAATTACCATAAGCCATGGTCTGATTACATACGGAGAACCAGGAAACTTAAATTATGTATTTTTTAAGCCGACCACGTATTATGTTGAATAAAAAGTAATAATTACAAACAAATGTTTAATTAAGGTTACAACCAATTCATTCATAGTAAACTAGATTAAACTTACATGAAATGTGAGTAAATCTTTTCTT